GCCAGCCTTATAAGAAATGTAAGGGGTTTCTCTGAGTGGAAAGTAAAGACCATAAGCAGGACTAAGAAAGTAGGAAGAATAAAAGCAGTAAAATTAAGCATATCTACAAAAATCAGTCAAGAGGTTCACAAAATAAAAGGATATAAAGTATGATACTATATGCCTAAAATGTTGGGGAGGAGGAGAATAAAAATTTAGTGCTTTTAGCATAGATTCAAACTTAAGTGACTATCAACTTAGTATAAACTTCTATATGTATAAGAAGATATATAAATCAATGAAAACCACAAATCAAAAACCTGTAATAGAAATGCAAAAAATAAAGATAAAGTAATCTGAATATGTCATTTAAAAAGCCAGCAAACTATGAGAGAAGCAAGAGAAAGGACAGAGAAGAACAAAAACAACCATACAACAAGTAACAAAATAGCACTAAGTAGATACTTATCAATAATTACTTTCAATGTAAATGGATTAAGCACTCTAATTAAAAGGCATATTGTGATTGAACGAGTAAAAAAACAAGACCCACCTACATGCTACCCATAAAAGACTCATTTCACTGCTAAAGATATATGTAGATCAAAAGTGAAGGGATGGGAAAGCATTTCTCATGCAAATGGAAATGAAAAGAAAGCTGGGATAGTAATACTTATACCAGACAAAATACACTTTAAAACAAACCCTGTAACAAGAGGCAAAAAATCATAAAGGGAATCATAATCATAAAGGGAACAATCCAACATGAAGATACTTGTAAATACTTATGCACCTAGCGTGGGAGCATCAAAATATACAGCTTGTTAATATGTTGTTGTTAATAACAACAACAAAAAAGAAAGTAAACAATAGTAATATAATAACAAGGGACTTTAATACTCCATTTGCATCAATAGATAGATCATCTAAACAGAAAATCAATAAGGAAATAGTGATTTTGAAGGACACATTGGACCAAATGGATTTAACAGACATACTCAGAATATTCCACCCTAAAACAGCAGAACACCCATCCTTTTCAAGCACACATGGAACATTCCCCAGAATAGATCACATATTAGGCTACAAAACAAATCTCAACAAACTCAAGAAGACTAAAATCATACCATGCATCTTTTCCAACCAAAATGATATGAAACTAGATATCATGGAAAAATCTGGAAATAATACATACATGGAATCTAACTAATATGCTACTAAACAATGAATGGGTCAACTAAGAAATCAAAGAGGAAATACAAAAGTACATGGAGACAAATGAAAATGAAAACATAACAGTCCAAAATCTTTGGGATGCAATAAAAGCTGTTCTGAGAGGGAAGTTTAGAGCAATACAGGCCTACCCCAAGAAAATAGAAAAATCTCAAATAAACAACCTAACTTTATACATAAAGGAGAAAAAGATGGACAAAGCCCAAAGCTAGTAGAATGAAGGAAATAATAGAGATTAGAGCAGAAATAAATGAAACAGAAGCTAAAAATAAAACCAACAGAACAGATAAATGAAGTTAGGAGCTGGTCTTTATAAAGGTCAACAAAATTGATAAACCATTAGCCAGACTCACCATAAAACAGAGAGAGAGAGAGAGTGAGAACTCAAAATCAGAAATGAAAGGAGAAATCACAACCAACATCACAGAAATACAAAAGATTATAAGAGAAATAATGAAAAATTATATGCTAACAAATTAGACAACATAGAAGAAATGGAACCATTCCTAGAAACACATAAGCTCCCAAAACTAAATCAGGAAGAAATAGAAAATTTGAACAGAGACTGATTACCAGCAGTGAAATTGAATCGGCAATCAAAAATCTCCCGACAAGGGATCCCTGGGTGGCGCAGCGGTTTGGCGCCTGCCTTTGGCCCAGGGCGCGATCCTGGAGACCCGGGATCGAATCCCACGTCAGGCTCCTGGTGCATGGAGCCTGCTTCTCCCTCTGCCTGTGTCTCTGCCTCTCTCTCTCTCTCTCTATCATAAATAAATAAAAATTAAAAAAAAATTAAAAAAAAATCTCCCGACAAACAAAAGCCCAGGACCAGATGGCTTCACAGGTAAATTCTACCAAACATTTAAAGGATGTTTGCAAAAAAATAGAAGATGAAGGAAAGCTTCCCAATTCCGTCTTTGAAGCCAACACTACTCTGATACCACAATCATGTAAAGACATTACAAAAAAAAAAGGGGGGGGGGAATTACAGGCCAGTATCTCTGACAAACACAGATGCAAATTCCTCCTCAACAAAATATTAGCAAACTGGAACCAACAGTATATTACAAAAATTATTCACCAGGATTAAAGTGGAATTTATTCCTGGGATGCAAGTGTGGTTGAATATTTGCAAATCAGTCAACAAAATATATCATGTCAACAAAGGAATGAAGAAAAACCATATGATCATTTCAATAGATTCAGAAAAAGCATTTGACAAAGTATGACATCTATTCATGATTAAAACCTTCAACAAAGATGCCTGGGTGGCTCAGTGGTTGAGTGTCTCCCTTCGGCTCAGGGTGTGATCCTGGAGACCTAGGATCGAGTCCCATATGAGGCTCCCTGCAGGAAGCCTGCTTCCTCCCTCTGCCTATGTCTCTGTCTCCCTCTCTCATGAATAAATAAAAAATTTTAAAAAAACCCTTCAACAAAGTAGATTTAGAGGGAGCATACCTCAACATAATAAAGGCCTTGTATGAAAACCCCACAGCACCATACTCAATGGTGAAAAACTGATAGCATTTTCCCTAATACCAGGAATAAGACAAGGATGTCCACTCTCACATTTTTTTTTCCAACATAGTAATGGAAGTCTGAGCCATAGCTATTAGATAAGAAAAAGAAATAAAAGGTATCCAAATTGGTCAGTAAAAATTTCATTGGTTGCAGAAGACATGATACTCTAGAAAACTTTGAAGACTCCACCAGGAAACTATTAGAACTGATAAGTGGATTTGGTAAGTTAGCAGGATACAAAATCAATATATAGAAACCTGTTGCATTTCTAAATACCAATAATGATATAGCACAAAGAGAAATTAAGGAAACACTCCCATTTATAATTGCACCAAAAATATTAAAATACCTAGGAATAAACTTAACCAAGGAGGTGAAAGACTTGTACTCTGAATATAAGACACTGACAAAAGAAATAGAAGATGACACAAACAAATGGAAAGATAGTCTGTACTCATAGATGGGGAGAATACATATGTTAAAATGTTCAGACTGCCCAAAGCAATCTACAGATTTAATGCAATCCCTATCAAAATACCAATGGTATTTTTTCACAGAATTAGAACAAATAATACAACAATTTGTATGGAACATCAAGAGACCTTGAATAGTCAAAGAAATCTTAAAAAGAACAAAACTGGAGGTATCACAATCCCAGATTTCAAGATATACTACAAAGCTGTAGTAATGAAAATAATATAGTACTGGCACAAAAATAGACATATAAACAAATGGAAGAGAACAGAGAGCTCAGAAATAAACCCACAATTATATGGTCAATTAATTTCAACAAGAAGGCAAGAATATGCAATATAGACAGTCTCTTCAACAAAAAGTAGTGGAAAAACTGGACATCTACATGCAAAAGAATGAAATTAAACCACTTTCTTACATCATACACAGAAATAAACTCAAAATGGATTTAAGACCTAAATGGGAAACCTGATATCATAAAAATTCTAGAAGATATCACAGGCAATAATTTTTCTGATATCAGCCACAGCAACATTTCTAGATATGTCTCTTGAGGCAAGGGAAACAGAAGCAAAGATAAACCATTGGGATTATATCAAAATAAAAAGCTTCTACACAGCAAAGGAAATAATCAACAAAACTAAAAGGCAATCTAATGAAGGGGAGAAGATATTTACAAATGATATGTCTGACATACGCATATTAGTAACCAAAAATATAAAGAATTTATACAACTCAACACCAAAAAAACAAGTAAGCCAATTTAAAAAGGCAAAAGACATGAACAGACATTTCTCCAAAGAAGACATTCAGTTGGCCAACAGACATATGATAAATACTCAACATCACCCATCATCAGGGAAATGCAAATTGAAACACAAATTAGATGTTAATTATACTTGAATAAAAAATAAATAAAACTCCAAATCTGACTCATGGAAATGTTTTCATTAACTCTGGGAAGCAAGTTAAGACAAGTTGTTAAGAAAACATCATAAAATAGAATATATTTTGGTATATGAACAATTGTATGGCAAAAATGGGGGAGAGGGAAGAGGAGTTTACTGAGGCTTTTTCAGGGAGGATTTCTTGTGGAGAAGACAATATTTATGGATTTTTCAGAATTTTCTTCTAATTCTGTATTTAATTCTTAGTCATTTGTACTGTTATAAATCACATAATCTTTAGTCATTGTATAATAATTACTAGTGGAATCATACTAAGAGAATAGAGTTGCATATATATTTACTAGCATTCTTCCCCTTCATCTTTCTTATACTCACAACATGTTGAAAGTTACTTTTGATATCAGTGCATCTTAAAAAATAGTGTTTCATATTTATTTATTTATTTATTTATTTATTTATTTATTTATTTATTTATTTTTGTGTACAAGTGCTTCTATTTTTAATTGGCCAACTCTACACACATGTTTATCATTAACTATTGGCTGTATGTATTTTTAAAAGGTAGTAAATGTCTCTTTATCTGCTCTCATTTCATCCACTCCCTCCCCACATCTGCAACCTCTGTGCATTTACCCTGGTCTTCACAGGAAATTAACAGAATAACGGATCTTGAAAAGAACCTTAGAAAGCATCTTCCAATCTCTACCTTAAGAAAACTGAGCTCCCCCTACCCCAAAGATTTTCCCATGATTACATGTTAGTTGTATCTAGAGTCTATGTGTGCATACACACACACACACACACACACACACACACAGAGTATTACAGTTTGTATATATCAGTATTCTAATAAAAGAAAGAAGAATGGATGTATTGACTCTTTACCGTGTTGCTAAAATATCTTGTAAATTCTCTTGTCATTTGAGAAAGGTAATCATTCAGTAAATTCTGCTCCTGCTTTTGTGCTATAAGAGAAAAAATAAATATCCACAGTGTTTAGTTTTAAAAATTAATCAAAATAAGGCATGTGCCTAGTTTTTAAAAAGTCATATACTATTACAAGGCTTATAACAAAAAACAGAAGTCAGGTGCTTTTCTTTTTTTTAATATAAATTTATTTTTTATTGGTGTTCAATTTGCCAACATATAGAATAACACCCAGTGCTCATCCCACCAAGTGCCCACCTCAGTGCCAATCACCCAGTCACCCCCACCCCCCACCCACCTCCCCTTCCACCACCCCTAGTTTGTTTCCCAGAGTTAGGAGTCTTTCATGTTCTGTCTCCCTTTCTGATATTTCCACTCATTTTTTTCTCCTTTCCCCTTTATTCCCTTTCACTATTTTTTATATTCCCCAAATGAATGAGACCATACAATGTTTGTCCTTCTCCGATTGACTTATTTCACTCAGCATAATACCCTCCAGTTCCATCCACGTCGAAGCAAATGGTGGGTAATTGTCGTTTCTAATGGCTGAGTAATATTCCATTGTATACATAAACCACATCTTCTTTATCCATTCATCTTTCGATGGACACCGAGGCTTCTTCCACAGTTTGGCTATTGTGGACATTGCTGCTAGAAACATCGGGGTGCAGATGTCCCGGCGTTTCACTGCATCTGTATCTTTGGGGTAAATCCCCAGCAGGGCAATTGCTGGGTCGTAGGGCAGGTCTATTTTTAACTCTTTGAGGAACCTCCACACAGTTTTCCAGATGGCTGCACCAGTTCACATTCCCACCAACAATGCAAGAGGGTTCCCTTTCTCCACATCCTCTCCAACATTTGTTGTTTCCTGCCTTGTTAATTTTCCCCATTCTCACTGGTGTGAGGTGGTTTCTCATTGTGGTTTTGATTTGTATTTCCCTGATGGCAAGTGATGCAGAGCATTTTCTCATGTGCATGTTGGCCATGTCTATGTCTTCCTCTGTGAGATTTCTGTTCATGTCTTTTGCCCATTTCATGATTGGATTGTTTGTTTCTTTGCTGTTGAGTTTAATAAGTTCTTTATAGATCTTGGACACTAGCCCTTTATCTGATAGGTCATTTGCAAATAACTTCTCCCATTCTGTAGGCTGTCTTTGAGTTTTGTTGACTGTATCCTTTGCTGTGCCAAAGCTTCTTATCTTGATGAAGTCCCAATAGTTCATTTTTGCTTTTGTTTCTTTTGCCTTCATGGATGTATCTTGCAAGAAGTTACTGTGGCTGAGTTCAAAAAGGGTGTTGCCTGGGTTATCCTCTAGGATTTTGATGGAATCTTGTCTCACACTTAGATCTTTCATCCATTTTGAGTTTATCTTTGTGTATGGTGCAAGAGAGTGGTCTAGTTTCATTCTTCTGCATGTGGATGTCCAATTTTCCCAGCACCATTTATTGAAGAGACTTTTTTCCAGTGGATAGTCTTTCCTCCTTTATTGAATATTAGTTGACCATAAAGTTGAGGGTCCACTTCTGGATTCTCTATTCTGTTCCATTGATCTATGTGTCTGTTTTTGTGCCAGTACCACACTGTCTTGATGACCACAGCTGTGTAGTACAACCTGAAATCTGGCATTGTGATGCCCCCAGCTATGGTTTTCTTTTTTAAAATTCCCCTAGCTTGGGGGTGACTGGATGGCAGGCACTGAGGGGGGCACTTGACAGGACGAGCACTGGGTGTTATTCTGTATGTTGGCAAGTTGAACATCAATAAAAAATAAATTTATTATTAAAAAAATTCCCCTAGCTATTTGGGGTCTTTTCTGATTCCACACAAATCTTAAAATAATTTGTTCCAACTCTCTGAAGAAAGTCCATGGTATTTTGATAGGGATTGCATTAAATGTGGAAATTGCCCTGGGTAACATTGACATTTTCACTATATTAATTCTTCCAATCCATGAGCATGGAATATTTTTCCATCTCTTTGTGTCTTCTTCAATTTCTTTCAGAAGTTTTCTGTAGTTTGTAGAGTTCTCTTTGGTTAGGTTTATTCCTAGGTACCCTATGGTTTTGGGTACAATTGTAAATGGAATTGACCCCTTAATTTCTCTTTCTTCAGTCTCATTGTTGGTGTATAGAAATGCCACTGACTTCTGGATATTGATTTTGTATCCTGCCACACTGCCAAATTGCTGTCTGAGTTCTAGCAATTTTGGGGTGGAGTCTTTTGGGTTTTCTATGTAGAGTATCATGTCATCGGTGAAGAGGGAGAGTTGAAGTCAGGTGCTTTTCAACGTAGTGCCCACCCCTTGTGTTTGGCTCCTTAAAATCAATGATTTTTAAACTCATTTTGACTCTTTTTCTATTTCTTTAAAAAATGCTTATATGGCTATTTGTTCAGTTGTCATGTTAAGATATTTTCTACTTTCTTCCTAATATAGAACATAGCATGCTTACACCCATCCCCATGGCCCTCACCCACACTTACAACCTCTATGTCTAACCTCCCCATAAAGTTATGCTTTTTGAATTAATTTTAACTGTTTAGATCATTATGGCAATGTAAGTATTATTCATAAGTGAGACAAATGGTGTAGTATGATTACACCTCCTCTACTGTATACTTTTTGCTTTTTCTAAGAGTTGAAAATAGCCTCATTGTTTTCACTTGCCTCATTTTCCATGTACACATTAATTCATCAAAATCTATAACAGAATTGTAAAACCTTCCAAATATTATTTCTCATGTGGTCAAACACCTTAGGTGATCTATCAGCTCCATTTCTCTTCCCTCCTCCACTGCCTTCTGTTTTTGTTTTTCTTTAGGCCAATTGCACAGCTGAACACCTGAGACTTTCCTTTGCAGCCCCCTTACATTGGACTCCTGTTTCCTGAATTTCACATTCTCCTCTTTTTCTTGATTTATTCCCTCTTTGTTGAAATAAATTTTGTACTAACTTCCTGAGACAGAGTAAATGAAATATCCTGAGATCTTATATATCTGATTGCATCTCTATTATGCATTTGTACTTGACTAACAGTTTGGATGGGTATCTAATGTTGTAAATTATTTTCTTTCAGAATTTTGAAGGCAATGTTTTCTTTTAGTACAATATTAAAGATAAGTTTAAAACCATTCTGATTACTATCTTTTGTGTAAGATCTGCTTTTTCTCTCTAGAAGCCTTTGGGATATTTTTTTTTTCCTCCTGAAATCCCAGTGATGCTATTTACTGTCTTTTCTTTCAGAAATTGCACTGGGGACTTGATGGGCCTTTTCAGATATTAACTCATTTTCTTCAATTCTCAGAAATATTTTTTATTATCTCTTGGACAGCTTTATCTTTTGCATTTTTTTCTGCCCTCTTTTTCTGGCCTTCCTCTTAATTAGATATTCAAATCTCAGAAGAGTCTTCTAATTCTCTTCCTCTTTTATCCTGTTCCTCTGCTCCTTGGTTTTTGTTCTATTTTTGGAGAGATTTCCTCAACTTTTCTTAGAATCCTTCTTTTGGATTTTAAAATTTTGGTTGTTATAGCTTTCATTTCTCAGAGCTCTTTCTTGTTTTCTGTTAAGTATCTTGTTCTTTTTTCATAAGTGCAATATCTTTTTTCTCTACAAATATAACTTTAAGATATATCCTCTATAATATAATGTATATGTTCTATAATATGAAGGACTATATATATATATATATACATATATATATAATATAGAGAGTAGCTCTTTTCTGAGAATATATCTTTAAAAGTATTATATTTTTTTGTGTCATCTATGTTTCCATTCATTTCTGTTTTTTTTTTTTTGTCTGCTTTAGTTTCTGCCTTTCGTGGTGGAAATTTTCCTGAGGTATCTGATGATCTTTGTCTAATCCTATTTAAGCATAAGGCACTGAAAGTTTCAATCCCTGAGTGGGCTTCACTGTACAGTGATTCAGAAGGGACCAGTCGTGTTGTTGGGGAATCCATAAATATTAGATTATGTGGGGCTTTTCTCTGAGACTGTTTGGTTTCTTTAGAGAATTATCCAACCATCTCCTTCTTCCAACTGGGGAAGGGATTACAGAATAGTCACACACAATGGGCTGGCAGCCTTCATCAAGCTGAACAGTGGAAGGGGGTCTTTGTACAGCATTTGTCTTCTACCCTTAGTTATATCGGATATCCTGCAGTTTAGAATCCGTTGGGCCAACTTCTCTGCCAGCTGCAGAGAAGAGTGAGGGCACCTGGAGGTCTCACTGCATATTATAAAGATTTTCAACCAATCTTTAGGCCTAAGAGTCATCTCAGCTTCACTGTCTCAGGGTCCTCCAATGCCCAAGACTTGCCAGGTCCTGTGGAGAGTACGTCTTCTTGCTTTCATGGTATGCTTTTTTGCAGGCACTTGCTATTCATATTTCCCTTCCTGTTAAGACCTATATCCAATTATATTTTCCAAAAAATTTGTTGATGTTTATTATCTGTGAATATTTTCTCTGCCAGTCTCTGTACTTCTGAGTTTATATATTTTTTTCCTCTAAGAACATCTTTTGTACACATTTCTATGAAGTTTCATTAGGGAGTAAAGATAGATCCATGTTTTTACCCATCATATTTAACCAAAAGTCATAACATTGTTCTTTATATGTACTGAACCAATTCTATCTCTCCAAGTCTCACTGCTGGCAGGGGAAGCATATTTTCCTATTTTCTGGAACACAATGCTCTTATGTTTCCTTTTCTATGTTTCTCTTGCCTTCCCGTCTCAATAGTTTATTTTTGCTTTTGTTTCCCTTGCCTTTGAAGATGTGTCTAGCAAGAAGTTGCTGTGGCCAAAGTCAGAGAAGTTGCTGCATGTCTTCATCTCTAGGATTTTGAGTGATTCCTATCTTACATTTAGGTCTTTCATCCATTTTGAGTTTATTTTTGTGTATGGTATGAGAAAATGCCCCAGTTTTATTCTTCTGCATGTGCCTGTCCAGTTTTCCTATCACTATTTGTTGAAAAGACTATTTTTTTTCCCACTGGATATTCTTTCCTGCTTTGTCAAAGATGAGTTGACCCTAGAGTTGAGGGCCCATTTCTGGGTTCTCTATTCCATTCTATTGATCTATGTGTCTGTTTTTGTGCCAGTACAAACTGTCTTGATGATTACAGCTTCATAACACAGCTTGAAGTCCAGAATTGTGATGCCTCCAGCTTTACTTTTCTTTCTTATCATTACTTTGGCTATTTTGGGCTTATAATCATATATTCTTAAAATTCACTTCCCTTGGTAGTTACCACTATTTACTTTAAAATACTTGTTTTACATTTCAACATACTGGGTTTCCATATGATTGTATCTTTTTGACACAGGCAATTGCTGTGTCAAAGACAGACTGATTTCTATCCCCATGCTCAGCAGAGAGTCTACTTGAGATTCTCTACCTCTTCCTCAGCCCTTCCCCCTGCTTGTGTGCTCTCTCTCTCTCCTTAAAGAAATACATATATCCTAAAACAAATAAATAAATCTTTAAGAAAAAAGAAACAAAAATCACTCTACATGGTAGCAGTTAAAGGAGTTCTTTCCACCTTCACGAAGTATAGAGAGAAACTACATAATACAGTTGCTACTAATTCTTAATTTTAAAGTCTTTAAAAGAGAAAAGGAAAAATTTGACAAGAGCAACAGCAAGACTGTGGTGTAAAGGAGAATAAATTAGTAGATGAGGCAAAAACTAGAGAAAAAAGTTGAAGGTGACAGGAAAAGTTCAGAGATTTTCACCATTGGCTTGGGACTGATGACCGCTCCCCTCTCTCCCCACTTGTGTTAGAAGAAAACAGTGACATCCTTACCTGGGCTTAAGGTCAATTACTAAGAGCCTCATACATACCTGTAATAATATTATTGATTTCTTCAAATTTTCCACTTTTGTTTATGTACTCTTCTTCTGCCACTTGAAGTTGTGGAAGACACTCAACCAGTTCCTCTTCCTTTACTTTATTACTTTCTGTTTCCCTAATAAATCTTTCCTTTAAAGAAAATAAAGCTAATTTTGAGTAAAATTTTTGAGAATTTACGTAATTTATGCTCTAGAGTAGAATGGAAACTCTTCAAGAGGAAAAGAGTTCTTAGTGTCCTCTTATCCTGAGGTGCACAGAAAGGTATTTGGCACATACTAGGTATTTGAAAAATATTTGTTGGCTGATTGACCTACTCTCTGGCAATTTGTAAAGAGATTAGATTCAATGGGCTATCCAAAGATCCGTTCAGTTCTCTGGCCCTACTGCTAAGATTCTATTAATGCTAACATATGTGTACCTTCAACATTTATGTTACTACAATAAATGGGCAAAAAGTGCCCCCACACAAAACATGAAGATGCCTGCTTACTTATTCAGGTTTAGGGATCCCTGGGTGGCTCAGCGGTTTAGTGCCTGCCTTTGGCCCAGGGCATGATCCTGAAGTCCCAGGATCGAGTTCCGCGTCGGGCTCCCTGCATGGAGCCTGCTTCTACCTCTGCCTGTGTCTCTGCCTCTCTCTCTGTCTCTTATCTCTCATGAATAAATAAATACAATCTTTAAAAGAATAATTATTCAGGTTTAATTTAGTTTCAAAGGGAACAGTTGGACCTCTCTTAGAAAGTCAGGATGTGTTTATAATGGTGACTAAAGCAGAGACAGTCAGCTGACATTTACTATCTATTCTGTCCTTCAGTATCAGGACGTCTCAGTTCTAGCTCAGCACATGGCTGCCAGCTAGAGGGATTGCTCAGCTTTCCTTGCAAGTGGGTGTGATTGATGAGTTTGTGCATCCAAGGGATGTGTGCCACTTCTGGGTCCTCCCCCTTCAATAGGAAGTGGTATGTGCTCCCTTGGTCCTTCCCTCCTTGGCCTGGCTGGAAAAGAATGAGAATGGAAGCTGCCACTTGGATCCACAGATGTTAACCTCATGCTGAGGATGGCAGAGCTGCCCTTCCAAACTTAGATCCCTTGCCCCTGGCCTGTAATGGGAAAGAGAAATAAACACCTTTCTTCTGTAATGACCACATCAGGGGGTCTTCTCAACTAGATACTGACTCTTAAGATTTGAAGAGGCTATACTTGACCCAGTTTATTCTTTAAAAAACTCTTTTTACTTTTTATTTTTAACCAAGTTGCATACACACATAATCCAAAAGAAACTCCAGGTACCAGCAGAGCAATGCTTGGCAGGCTTCCCCAGTAGGAAGTACCTTCACAAAACAGCTGACTAGAGGCTAGTGTTCTTTGACCCCACCAAAATGATAACACTTATGTAAGAGGAAGACACTCACATGGGTGAGTGTGACCAATACTGTTTGGATGTATCTGCTAGGTCCCCAAAAGGGGCATGCCCACTTGAAAGAGACACTAAACTTAGGGAGGTTCAATGCTCTAGTTTCCTACCAGTTATCCTCCCAGTCAAGATGTAGCATGGCAATCATGGGTCATTCCATACAAGCAATGATGCCTGGTAATACAACTTTAGTTGTCTACCTTTACCAGGCTCCAGGGGAATGACCCAAAAAGTTAAGCCAAGGTCAATTTCCCAATAAAGGAGGGAGGGTTGCTAACCCTTTACTACCTACATTTGCTTCTGTTCACTGGATTTTGGCATCTCTTTGATAAAGCAACTTGTCTGTGCCCTAATTAACACAGTGATATGTCAGCCTGACATGTCCCCTCCCAAACTGCCATTAGAATCTTTAGGAATAAATATAGAAAGACAAAAACATACATAAAAATACCATAATACCAAATGCTGCAATTTACCAAACCTGGATGGTGCAGCGGTTTGGCCCCTGCCTTTGGCCCAGGGCACGATCCTGGAGACCCGGGATCAAATCCCACATCGGGCTCCCGGTGCATGGAACCTGCTTCTCCCTCTGCCTGTGTCTCTGCCTCTCTCTCTCTCTCTGTGACTATCATAAGTAAATAAAAATTTTAAAAAATACCATAATTTAATGGAGCACCTAGTTAAATCAGTTGGTTAAGTGGCCGGCTCTTGGTTTTGGCTCAGGTCATGATCTCAGGGTTATAGGACTGAGCCCCAAATCATGCTCCACACTCTGCTCAGAGTCTGTTTGTCCCCCTCTCTCCCCTGTGCCTCTCCTCCTGCTCATGTGCTCTTTCTCTTTAAAATAAATAAATAAAATCTTTAATCAAAACAGAAAACCGCCTTCATGTAAACATACCTTAATGCAGAATCAGGAGTCAATTTGTCCGCACAGCAGTGTTAAGAAACCAATTGTGTATTACCTACACTATGATCTCTAAGAGAACAGCTTGGGGGTCTCAGAAGGTCTGTGAATAATGCATTAATTCATTACTATTGGCTCCACTGGCTTAGCTGCCAGCAGTGCCCTGACAAGAACCCACGTTCTGGTTTCCCACTTGGAAGGATGGTTTGGGTACCGGGTGCGGCTGCATCTCAGGAAGCCAGACCCACAGCTTCTTCAGCTCCTCCAAACTTCCCTGATTCCTGAGCCACATGCACATTTAGTTCAGTGGCAAAGGGCTCTGGCTTCTGCTGCAACCCCATGGAACTGGAGCCTTGGAAAAGAGGGAGACAGATGCAGGTCCCAGTCCCTGCCCATCAGGAGAACTTCCAGCTCATCCTAAGACTCCCTGTCCATCTCTCCTTCCCAGCTGCCTGCCCTGTAGCCTTCAGGCCCCAGCTCCAGACAGAAGGCTGACGGCCTCACTAGACTGTGTAACCAGCTCCCGCAACTGCGGAGGTCAAATCCTCTAACAGACCCCTTTCCCACTGGCTCTGCTTCTCAGACCAAACCCTGCCAGACATAGGGATGTAGGACCCAGCAGATCCAACCATGCCCCATTGTGGCAGCAGTAGGTCAGAATGCTGTAGAAGCCCATGGCTCCTCATACAACTGAGACAAAGGCAGAAATGGGGTTCTGATTTCCAATTTTCTCTGGGTTATTGATGATGTTTATCATGGGGAAATCTTTATAATAACAGCACACAAGCTGCCATCTGCCCATGGTTGTGTGAATTAGACACAGGTGGACACAGCCCTACAGCAGGCACACAGCCTGGCAAATGGGGTGGAGTGGATGCTGGAAGACTATCTCCTTATCTTGCCTAATTGCACTGTTCAAGCTCGAGTGCAACGTTACCTAGTGTCCTCATCCTATTGCTGACTTTAAGGGGATTGTCTCCACTGGTTTACCAGTAAGTATGATGGTAAACTCTGTCAGCTCTGACTCAAGAAATGCCTGACACACGCTGGCTGCCTCCTCCCGATCACTTCCTCAGTTACCACTCTGGTTTGGGCTACACAGACCACTTGGAACATTGCTTTTGCTTCCTAATTGGTCTTCCTGCACCCACCACTGCTTTCCTAAATTTTAATCAACAGAGCAGCTAGAGAGATCCTATTTAAATGAAAATCCAATTATTTTAGCCTGTCATTCAGAACCGTCTTCCGGCTTCCCAGGCAAAGAAAAGACAAAGCACTCATGATGGCCTATAAGGTGGCAGACCTGGGAATGCCCCTCTTGGGTCGCCCCTCAAGGAAGGGCTGACTCGCTGCCTTGTGCCAAGGAGTGTGGTCAGCTGCCAGCCTCCAGCGGCCGGCCCCTTCAGGGTCTCCTTGGTCATGTAGTGAAGATCATGGTCTTCGAGGGGTAGCCCCCAACCAACAGACTGAGTTTGAGGGTTACCTAAAGGCCTGATCACTTCGCCCACCCAGTCCTTTCATAGGCAACACTCCCTAATAAACCTTGGCACTCTTCATCCATCTCAGCATCTACTTCCAGAAAATGGGTCCCTCTCCCTCCTGTTTGCTCCAGCCATACTGCCTCCTCGCTGTTCCTGCCCCAGGCCTTCGTGGTGGGCATGCCCTCAGCCTGGAGCTGCCTCCTCTGCTAGCTCCAAGCCACCTCCCCAAACCCTCCAGGACTCTACCCTTTCTTCTCCAACCCTCCTCTTTACTGGCACACAGACTGCATTGCACATGCTCGCCCTATCCCTGCTCCCTGCTTTATCTTTCTCTGTAGCATTTCTCACCACTGAATATACCAATTGTCCTGCTTGTTTTGCTTGTTTCTTTCCAATCTCCCCCCACTAGGATGAGAGCACCAGAAGGGCAGAGTTTTGTTGTCTTTTTTTTTGTGTATATTTTTCAGTATCTTGAATGCTAGGTGCCCAGACAGACAGCAACTGACTGAGAAACGCTTCCCACCCTGACTTTTCTCCCTTCTGCTTCTCATTTGTCTGAATCTGGGCAAAGCTTTTTCCCCCTTGTTTGTTCCCTGAGCTGTGTGGGTTTCTGTTTCACCTCTTCTTATTTCTGGTCATTGCCTTCGGACACCTCTTCTCTAAGTTCCTAGACTTCTATGTTGCTTCCTTGGCATGTCTACAAAATTATTATTTTTTTTTAATTTACAGAGGAACATTTCATCACAGATTTCATGTGTTCCAGCACCATCTTTCTGACTGTTCTTCGGTTGTTGGAAAGTTCTGTTCCCCCTTTCACTTATTTTTCTCATAGTATTTTTGTGTGGAGGACACAGCTGCTCCTTTTGTGTTATTTGTATTAGGAAAGAACTGGCTCCTCTAGGACCAGGTACCTGAGGACAGTTTCTGTAGGATTCCATGGTGGTTGTGCAAAGAGGCATGGGCTGAGCCCAGGGCAAGATCTCAACTCTGAAATGTGAGGACTCCCTGCTGCCTTATCACATGGGACAATTGTCCTCAAATAAGGCCCCTCTGTCTCCAAGTAACAGCCCTTTACCTTTCAAGGTAACTCCATCACCTTGAAAAGCTGTGCTTTTTGTTGTGTTTCCGGAGACTCGCCTCCTCAGGGCCCCCTGGGTCCTTTCGGTGCCTTTTCTCTCTACCTTCCCCAGCACCCATGCTCTATTCCATGCCAGGCCAGCTCCTAGCAGCTCCCAATTCAGTAGGATGCCTTCTCTTTCATGAGGATTTCTGAGTTTAGTCTCACTTGCCTTCCTTGCCCTTTGCTGCTTCCTCCAGCCACTCCTGGGCCAGCTCGGAATAGCTCCCTGAAATGCTCCACCTGCCCCCACAGACTCTGCCAGCATTTCTACGTAACTCAGAGCATCTGATTTTCTTTTCTTACTGAAATTTTTTTTTTCTTTTCTTGCTCTTTTTTTTTTTTCAAGAAAAAAAAAACAAGAGTCATAATGAAATTGTAGCCTTGTTCACACTGGAAGATTTTATATTTAACTGTTTAGAATATCATGAACTATCCTCCACCCCCAATATAACCATCTAAAATTATTCTTAGATGTAAAATAAAACTTACCTCATACTTGTTCAACTCTTCAATTAACTTTTTTTCTTTGACAATAAATTCCTCCTCCTCTTGTTTTAATTCACATGTAACCCTTTCAATCTCTGCCAAAAATTCAGTGATTTCTTTTTCTCTTAAACCAGTCTGATTAGAAAAAAAAAAAAACAAACAAAATAAAATCAAACCTGAAGATCTGTCCTTTTCCTTGATCAGCCAGCCTTACATTTTCCAAGAGCCAAGAGTTAATATCTCTTTGCATGAGACTTGGCTCCAATGTTAGGTTCTATTATTTCATAGAGGGAATTTCTTTCTTTTTTTTCCCCCTCCTGCAAAGGTTAATTTATTCACCAAACAATATCTTTATTTTTTTTTCATCTTCCACTCCCCTAAATAATATTGTTAATCTACATGAGGAGATAAGGAATGGCAGTGGTGGGGGCCCAAGGGTGGGCAGTGGGCCAATACTGGAATTAAATAAATGATGTCTGGTCTCTCTCTCTCTTTTTTTTTTAAGAGAATGTTTCCTTAAAAGTTAACATCAAATAAGTTTCTAGTTGTGTATTTCAAAAGCATCTTCTAGAGAGAAGTGCTACTTTGTTTGCCAAATCCCTACAGTTACTACACAAAAAATAGATACATTTCTTAAGAAAGTTAAATAATTCACTCTAAACATCAGTCACCAGAAAGGAAAATCTCTTTTAATAAGATAAGCTATAATTAAATATTGAAAGGGAATCACTGATATGCAGTAATAATTTTAAGTCCATGCTAATAGGGAGTAATAATATACTATTAAGTCCCTGGAGTTCCTTTACCTCTTGTAATAATTCAGAGTGTCTGAGTTCCACAATCTGTGTTTTCTCTACAATTTCTCCTATCTCAGAGATTAGCTTATTTTTCCAACGTGCATGCTTTTTTCGCAAACAAGCTACTTTCCATTGAGTTATAATACTAGAAGTTAGAACACAAAGAATCATCATTAAATTGACATAACAATTTACTGAAAAGATGAAGCAATTCAAAGCAAACAAATATTACTATGATTATACAAATCTGTTTGTGCTATTGGTGATGCAGACCATGCATATGGTCCCATGAGGAACATTGCATAAAATAAGCCAAAATATTAACTGTGTCCATGCTGTCTGTCTTCACCAGCTGCTTCGCAGTCGTGGGGGTGTCTGTATGTCCAATAGGACAGTGGACAAACCACATGTGGCAGCTCACCTCTTTTAGGTAAACAATAGAAATGGAGAAGGTTCAGGGGCAGAAGGCCAAGAGAAGAGACCCAGGTGGAAATTGTAGTGAAATTACCTAAATTACCCAGAGTGCTAATAAGGGATTTCAAATCCCTTGAGGGATTTCTCAAATTTTTCTTTCCACTGCAATATAAAAAAGCTACATTGGAGGAGGGTAAAAATGTGCAATTGGAGTCTTATACATGAGATTAATGACAACAATAAAATACAGCTAAGTTTTTGCAAATACTTCCTAGGTACCAGGGAGTCATCTCAATACTTTATGGAGATCATCTCATTTACCACTCATGGTGACCTCACCGGGTGGATGCTACCATCATTGGCCACTTTACAGGAATGGGAGCAGAGAGGTTGTTAAATAATGTAGCCTCCGTCACAGAGCTAGGAAGAGACAGGGTGACCAGAGAGCCCGTCTTCAGAGCCTGTTTGCTTATCCATGTTCCTCTGTCACCACACACCACCTCCCATACTGGACCACACAGAAGCCTGGTGAGCAAGGGGCACTGCACAAATCTTGGCCATTTCACTCTGGTGAGTTTGATCAAATGAAATGGAAAACTTTGGTTCTGTTCATGCCCCAAAATCAAAATAACAAACACATCTAGATCTGAGGCAATTGACCTAATTTAATTTAGGAAACAAATTTCCTTGGACTCTAGCAAGCAAGAAGTACTCTGGTTTCCTCCTTACTTTGGAGCACTGTTCATTAAGATAAACATATACTACTCATAACATAAATGGTTTTTTTCTTTACCATCTCTGATTTTCTCTTTCCAGGTTATCATTCAGGATTTTTATTTGTTTCCGATACACTGCCTTTGTTGCTCTAAAAACAAGAAAATATACATTGGGTTTTGCATTTGTGGAAGCCAGCAGAATATATAACAGACTTTATGTATTACTCTTGTGCACAGTAAGACTACCATCTAATTGGGAGACAAACCAAGCCTAGTGAAACAACTAAAGGTAGTGCTAGACTCAGAGAAAGACAATTATGGTCTTGTACAAGTGCAAACTGATTTTGCAAGTACTGCGGTGGATACCTAAGGGAAAGGAAGCATGGATTCTGGAGAGGTAGCTGAGAAGGGGTTATTGGAGGTTAATGTTTAACAGAGGGAGGAACATGAATTGCCGGAATATGGAAAGGGCATTTGCAAAGACACAGAAAAGGAGAAGCAAATCAAGACTCTTATGGCCAATAAAGACTTGCTGTGGACAGTGGACACAAAGGAAAGGAATAACAGTTATACGGGGCTGGTGAGGAACTTTGGATTCTAGATTGAGTCCTGATTTGATGCAATGTATAATTTGCAAAAGCCAGTATCAATTTTTGTACTAGGGGTAGGTAGTAATTAAGGATGGGAGATTTCCTTGTGAATCTAAGATGGATAGAAACATGAGGAGTCTAACACAGGTATTAAAAGCGTTGATTATTTTTATTCCCTTTTTCCTATTAAGTGCTTCAGGTGCAGAAAAGTAAAATGTGACTTCACGTCTTTTGAAAAATAGAAATATTTGTAACTGAAACAGAATAGGTAAGGCTGTGAAACTAGAAACATAATTGTGTTCATGGTTTTTCCTCTGCTTGAATCATAGTGTGGGCTCTTGATTTCTTACCTCCATGAATCTATTACCCTCCCCTGGAACTGTAAGAATCTTCACAATTTGCCCCAACCTCATTGATTTTATTTATATATTTAGTGTAATCCACAAAGGAGTTGAACTAATCTAAAATAATGCAACAATAATATAAAAGTCCTAAATGGAAACCAATACTGGGTCACAGATTTGGCTCTGAGCTTCCTGGTGACCAGAGCAATGATGACACAATAGTTGGTTATGGAAATCTGCACTATTCTTGTGGAATATAAGACCCCTATTCAAACCAATTCTATTTTCCTGCTCTTTTACAGGGAAGAGTTCATAATTTCCCTTCTGAAACCAACATGAGACATAGATGTTTAAATATGTTATTTCACAGTGCAAAGGACATGCAACCCACACATCCTGCTATGTTCTAGATTTCTTTTGTACAGGTCAAATTTCAACACCACCTATATTAGTTCTATAAGCTAGTTACCCCACTGCCCTATATTCAAATAATAGAATATCTTCAAATTATAAAAACAAAAACTATGCAAAACCCCTTTGATCCAGCAATCCAACTTTTAGGACTTTATTATATAGAAATAGTTGTATAGCTAGACAGAGATATATATGTTAAAGGATGTGAACTTTTAAAAGTGCTTATAGTTTAGAAAACTCAAAAACAGGGATGCCTGGGTGGCTCAGTGGTTGAGCGTCTCCCTTCAGCTCAGGGCATGATCCCGAGGTCCTGGGATCAAGTCTTGCATCAGGCTCCCTGCAGGGAGCCTAACCCCTCCCTCTGCCGATGTCTCTGCCTCTTCCTGTGTGTATCTCATGAATAAAAAAGTAAAATCTTTAAATAAAAAAACCCTCAAAAACAAAAGTCCATCAGTAGGGCACTGGTTAAATAAAACATAGCATAATAGAGAAATATTATACAGTTCAAGAAAGAATAAGGAAGGAGGTCCCATATATAGAAATTTTGTCTTCTTCTGAAATAGTTTTAAAATCAACAGATAAGTATAAAAATTAATACAAGGGATTCCCATGTATACCTTTCACCAACTTCTCCAAATGTTATCATTTACCATATTTATTTTATCATTTTCCCAAATGTCTTTTCCAGCTTTTTATTAAGATATCATTGAAATATAATATTGTGTAAGTTACCCGAATGTAAGTGGAAAAATACCAGTTATAGAAAAGTACAATCCCATTTTTGGATGTACAAGCACACTGCTATATGAAAAGCATGCATAGCAGAGTGTTAACAGTGAGATCTCAGGGAGGAGAAAGATGGAGATTAGGGTAACTTTTACTCTTCTAAGTTACACATTTCTATATTTGAATTTTAAAATCAGGTGCAAGCATTACGTTTTTAAGCAGAAAAATTAAAATTAAAGATCAAGGTGATTTAGAATGGCCAAAATGAACACCGTAGGGGTATGATAATGTTTGGGCACATTCTTGTTAGTAGAATCCTACTGGGCCCACTTCTCATGTCCAGCAGCTTGTATGGAACTCAGGACCTGCCTCTCCTTTCAACAGTAGATTCAATGATAATGACTCCCCTAGACTGTAAAAGAGAGACTGCGAATTGAAAGCCTCCTTTCCTATAGGATATCAGACATTGTCAGATCTATTGTTACCATATATTAAAAAATAAATGCAGAGAAGCTGAAGATGAAAAGTTTCAAAGACAGTAAACATACTGAAGAAGATCATGGAGCGTGACAAGTCCTTCTTCCATATTTTTGACGTCTACTTTTCTTTGTGACAGGAAGTTTTCTTTCTGAGTAATAAATGTCAGTTGTTTCTGATTTCTACCATGAAAAAAAAAACAAAGTTATCATATGTTGAAGGGTAAAATCATCATTTTTCACTCCTCAACAAGAAAGGATATATAATCGCAAATAAGAATGTAGAAAATAGGTTGGAAAGTTCAACTCAAACTATTTACCAAACAAATTAGTAAAAATAGAAACAAAATCTTTTTGTTGGTGGTGGCTCAATATAAACTTACGAAAATCTCCACACCATGGAAAGAGCATTAATTTTAATAGCAACCATAAAACCACAAGAAGAGATCTATAGCACTCCATCCCTCAGAGTGTGTGTGTGGGGTGTCTCTTTTCATGCATTTATCGATTCAACGTGTTCTTTTGTAAAAAGTGAAGGAGTCCATCAGACCAAATTTAAATACTGGCTTACCTCTTTCTAACAGTGTGATCTCAAAAAGAAACTCTGCCTGGGGATGAGCCTCAGTTTCTCCATTCATAAAATAGGGATCACAATGCCTATATGTCACCAGGTATAAGGATTAAATGAGATGTAAAGTGCTTAAGCAGTGTGTGAGGCATTTTATAAAAAGTGGTTATATTTTGTCTCCAGTTTACAGAGAGAATAATGACAAGTGTACAGTTTTGTTCGGGGTCACATTTTCCAGACATTGATAGGAACACTCCTATAACAGAAAGTACTTTATATAAACATCTTCAAAATTGCGATGGACTGAATTGTGTCATTCACAAATTCATAATGTTGAAGCCCTAATAGCCAGTGTGATGGTATTTGAGGAGGGGGCTTTTGCCAAGTTATCAGGTCGCTTGTTTAGATGAGGTCATGATGAGGAGGCCCCTCATAAGAAGACACACCAGAGAGCTTGTTCTCTCCCTCTCTACCATGAAAAAAATGCAAGAAGGCAGCCATGTGCAAACCAGGAGAAGGGGCTCTTACCAGAATCTGACCATGCAGGCACCCTAATCTCAAACACCCAGCTTCTGGAACTGAGAAATCAATGTCTATTATTTAAACCACTGATTAGTTAGTGTTTAGTTATGGCAGCCCAGGCTGATGACAAAAATCATTAATGATAGTAAATGGTTTAGTGTTACACTGATTTGTCATCAGCACATTTTATGATTAAAACTGGTCACTTAATATTGATCTGAGGAAAATTTCTGTCTAAATAACTACTAACAACAGATTCTCAGTAGACTGTGCAATTGCATGAGATACTATGATCACAGCAACTCTCTGCAGCTCAAATGCTGCACTGACTGTAAACTCATTTTCACAACAGTGAGCCTGGACACTGTAATTACACTTCCCTGTGGTCTAACTTTGTGTGTAGGAATGAATCATTTCTATAATTCATGCTTCCAAGATGTTATTCTGTACTCATTAACAAAATATTGGTGAATGCCCACTGCCTGCTAAGCAATGTACGAGGGAATATAGCATGGAATAAGGCAAAACAATGGTTCATAGTTGAGAGGGGCAGAGAGATTTGTGCCCCGCTGATTACAGTGCAGTGTCTGATGGAACAGAATGGCATCAGAGGGGATGTTTCAGAAGGATCATTCTGGTGGAAGGGAGAGGAACAAATGAAGGGTGGTAAAGCAGAAAGTGGGAAGAACTTTTGAGGGACAAGCCAGAGCAAGGAAGCTGAAAGAGGTGACAAGAATGGAGTTGGAGAGGAAAATGGGATATATCTGAGAAATATCTGGGAGGTGGAATTGACAAGCATTGACAAGCCTTGGCTTTTGCATAGAGTCCGATGAGTAGTAAAAGATAGGAATTTCCTTGAATGATTTTCCAGTCTCTGGGTTAGGGGATTGTGTCAACCAAAGCGTTCTCTGAGATGGGGAATAGAGGTGCAGAGCCAGTTTCTGATGAAGGTGGATCTCACAGTTTCCCTAGACAGTTAATGGGGTAGAAGCAGGATTATTTTTTTTCAAGAATCTGATTTATGAGTAAATATAATGCACGTGGTATTTATGGATTTGATCTGATCTGTAGGAGGAAAGCATTACCCAGTATATATAGAGGCAGAATAGGAGTATGTCTATTTATTTGGGGGAAATAATACTTCACTGTTGTCAACATATTTGAAAACTAGGATATGCTTAAGCATAGAGTCACCATTTTGATGTCAGGGAAAGCACCCCATAGCTACAACATGTCGATTCATGTACAGATCATGGATAGAAACATACTCCTCGTAAATTTTCTGTTTCTGCATAAAAAGTTTATCCTCCTCACTTAAGACAATCTTATATTGTCTGGTAAGAGTATGCAGTTTCCCCTGTAGATCTTTGTTCTCTAAACGATTTTTGTGTAGTTTTTCAGCCATCTAGAAAAAAACAAAGTAGAGGACTTGCTTCACATTTCCTTGGATGGGAATCAGTCATGTGGGCAACTCTAGAGCACTGGGTATATTACCTAGCACAGTATGACTTTACCATAAATATTAAGGGATTTAATTCTATATCAAATATGCAATTTGCCTTTTGGGACCTCTTCTATAAATTATGGCAAAAGTGTAGAAAGGTAGTAAACACAGATGCAGAAACCACAGAGTAAAAATTCATATTGAAATAAGAATTGGGGGGGCACATGGGTGGCTCAGTTAAGCATCTACCCTCAGCTCAGGTCATGATCCTGGGGTTCTGGAATCGAGCCCCACATTGGGTTCCCACTCCCCATCCTCCCTCCCCCCATACTTGTGCTCTCTCTTGCTATGTTTCTATCTCTCACTCTCTCAAATAAATAAATAAAATATTAAAAAAAGAAATAATAATTGATATCAATAAATAAACTGAGATCATTCTGCAGGATCTGTTATGCCCTACCCTAGGGAAAAGAAACTATAACACCAACAGGAGCTCTGGCTCAAAACTATGGCTGCCTCCCATTAAATATTTCTATTCAAGGATAAAAATAGTACTTATTAGTGAACTTTGTACTTAAGATATCTCTATTGAATTGCTTCAAATGAGATTAGGTTTAGTACAAGTGATAGGCTGAGTAATCAAAATAACACACTGGCTGAGGATTGCTAAAATAGCTGGATAAAGAAAAATAACTTAGAAGTTATGGATAACTAAAAAAATAATGAAGAATTCTAAAAGAAATTGAGAATCCATAGTAGTAAATCTAGCACTGAAAACTCCTTTCACTCTGAGGACATTTACTGATATGGAAGAAACCATTTGGAAACAAGATTTTAGTTCTCTTACCTAATAAGAGGGACAGAAATCAATACTTAAAGCTCATCCAGGTATTGAATCTGATAAACGTTCCAACACTTTCGTCTAGGATCCCAAAAAGCTTCACACTCTGGAGAAGTGTATGTTGGAAGCTAACAAGCCATGGTCCAGGCTGATTTCTATCACCAGGGAACCTAAAGGTGCATGAAGGTGGTTTGGGATGGATAACACCTCAGCCATCTGATGGAAGTGAATGAAAGTCTATTCCTGAGGAAGATCTGATTGATCATCCTCAGCTTCAAATTGCTTCTATAAACATTTTTTTAAAATACATGTCTGGTGTATGGTTTTCTACCAGGAACAGAAGGAAATAAGACAACATGAACAAAAATTGACAGAAACAACAGACTGCAGAAACAAACCTATTAAAACAACCAAGAGTGAATGGAATTAGACACTGAACTATATAAATACTGTGCTTACTATAATCGAAGAAATATTAGACATACTTGAAAATTACAGTGAGGAACTAAAAACAGTGAAGAATTACAAAGCAAATTTGAAAGTTACCAATTAAAAAACGCAATAACCAAAATTTAAGAGCTGAAACAAGACCATTCTGCCCAGAATACAGCAGGGAGAGACAAAAGGTAGAAAACACAGGAAAGAGGGTAAAATACGTAGAGGAAATGTATATTGCTACAAATAACATATACACATATAATCGGGAATTTCAGAAGAAGAGGAAAAAGAGTGAAATATGTGAATAGATAATCACTAAGAATTTTGTACAACTTATAAAAGTAAGAAATTCATGAATTTAAGATGCCCAGTGAATCCCATCCAGAAGAAATAAAAAAGAAAACATGGACATATCATAGTGAAACAGAACTAATTAAAGGGAACAAAGAAGACCTAAGGAAATGAGGTACACCATGTTCATGGATTGGAAGCCTCGATATTGTAAGAATGTGACATTTTCCCCATACTTTTTTTTTTCAGAATGCAAATTTTATTAACTGGTTTCAACAACAACAAAAAAAGATGAGTAGATACAAGTAGAAACATAGACAGCATCTCCCCCAGCAGCAGGCAGGGTGGGGAAGGCAGGCAGGAGGTAGGCCTAAGGTATTCCCCTCTGCCCAGCAGAAGTAGAATCCCAGGGAAAGGGTCAGGTTCCCTCCATCCAGCTGCAAGCTGGGAGACTACCTCATTCAGGGGAGCCCAGGACAACAGCTGAGGGTGGAGGCTGAGCAGCCAGGGGCCAGGCCTGGGAGAAGGTGTAGAGAGAAGTCCTAGGCTGACATCACCAGGGGGGTGTCATGGGCTGAGGGTTCTGCAGATATGACATGACCACAGCAGAGATGGACAGCATGAAGCTACTCATCATCATTGGTTAAGTGTCCTCAGAACTCAGGGAGTTGGCAAAGCTTATGAAGGAGCAGTAGACGGCCACCCACGCGCACCATTTCAGCTTGAGCATGAGGTCACACATGCTGAAGATCATGCCGAGCAGGTTCATGTAGTCCGGCGTTGGGTCGTCCAAGGCCGGGATACACTCACTCGGTGGGGGCTTGTACCTGAGCACTTTGTTCGGCCTTCGCGGGTCGACATGTTAGTGGACATGGCATGTCGGAGCTCCCCATACTTTTCTATAGATATAATGCAACCCCAATCAAAAATGCAAACAGGTTCTTTGGCACGACTTGACAGACTGATAGAAATTCAAAGGGCCAAGAACAGTAGAAGCAATCTTGAAGAACAAAGTTGGGTTTATACTACTAACTACAAAGGCTATTGTTAAAGCTGCTAATTAAGTCTGGTTTAACGTGAGGAGAGATGAGTCCAAAGGAACATAATAGAGAGTCCACAGATCTACACACATATTTATGATGTATTTATGGTCTACACTTGATTTATGACAAACATGCCATTACAATATAGTAACAGGTAAAGACAATCTTTTCATTAAGTGGTGATAATTAACTGGACAACCTTATGGAAAAATATGAATCTTCACCACCATCTCTCAGTGTACACACACACACACACACACACACACACACAAATATGCACACACAGATTCCAGATGGCTTGTAGTCCTAAATTTGAAAGGTCAAACAATAAAACATCTAGAAGATTGTGAAAGAAGAGTATATTCATGACATAAAACATAAAAACCAAAAAGGAAAAGATCGATAAACTGGATTCATTACAACTAATAAATTACATCCATCAAAAGATAGATATATACATAAAGATTACACATTTACAGTGTATGTACTGTTCTGTAAATGTGTAATATTTATAATAAAAAAGATTATCTTAATAAAAAGATAAAAATAAAGTTACAATAGAATTTCATGTCGTTACTGAACTTGCCTCTTACACTTCATGAGAATTAAGATTGGCTGCCACCAAGAGTCCAGTGGAATAATAAATGGGTCAAAGACCCAATCTTTTTGAAGCAGTCACTCATAGAATTTGGATGAAGGCTATGGATTAAGGGGAAATCCTCCTTTGCATTTGCCCCTTTGGGCAAATAAGCCATGCCAGTGTAGGGGTCCTGGATTTTCCAGTCAGTCAAGGGGTTATAAACCATGGAGTTATCATTTGAAGCCTGCCTAAAGCCTACCTAGCAGCTCCTACAATAGGTAATAAATGGAAAGTAAAAAGAAATCCTTTGTCTTGAGAATGAAAGACAACTTTAAAAAACCAGCCAGCCAAGCAACCAAACAACCCTGTCTAGTTTCTGTCTTTCAGTATCTTTACAACTGAAAGAATCAGAATAGATCTAATCTGGAGAGAAGCCATCCCTAATGCTATTAACTTATAACCAAAAATGGAAATAATTTAATTGGCTCAAATCACTCTTCTGGGAGAGATCTGCCTTGTACTGTTTTATATTCTATTTGTCACGCAATAACAATAGCATGAGCTGTTACTTATTTAACTAAGACCCTTTTGTTGGACGTTAATTGTATCTCTCCTCTACTTTTTCAACTATAATAATGAATGCTTTACTGAATACCTTGTGAATAAACGTTGGTTTACACCATAATTACGTACTTATATTTCTTTCAACCTAAGATTCAAAGTGTCCAGAGAATTCTTTCAGAGGCTAAATCTGACTCAAATATTTCACTACATCACTAAGTATAGTATGGGTTGATAGGCTTTACAGGTACCACAACAAAAAGAAGGTCCCATCATTAAAAAATGATAATTCACATGAAAAATATCCATTGGTCTACATATTTCTAATGTAAAATAACCACAACTATATGACAAGTTACCAAACAAGTGATTCATCTTCACATAGATAACATTTGCTTTTTCACATATTTTTTAAAAATATTTATTTATTTGAGATAGTGAGAGAGAGCATGGGCAGAGGGAGAGGGAGAAGCAGGCTTCCCACTGAGCAGGAAGCCTGATGTGAGGCTCGATCCCAGGACCCTGGGATCATGACCTGAGCTGAAGGCAGACACTTAACTGACTGAGCCACCCAGGCAGCCCAGTCTTTCACATATTTAAAATACTTTGGGAGGGGATAAAATCTTTAAATCAATTACTGTGAATGATCATGATTATTACTGAATCATGAAAAATCTACTTTGGGAAGGTTTTACATTTCTCAAATATATTTAAAATATTAACTAAAAATGAATTATAATCTAAAAGTCAGAATTTCCATCTTCCTACCTGTGTTATCTTTTGTAAAAGTTCACCTTTTTCAAAACCAGATGACTCTTCCAGTTTTTCTTTGGTACTTATAAAAAATTGTCTATGGTCAAAGGAAATCAGATTAACATTAGGTCATGTTTTCCAGCAAAGTCACATTTACTTATGACACCAGAAACTTCCAGTCCCCAACTTCCTGTGCAACATTCTTATTGATATGTTCATTAAAATAAGTAAAAGATTTTACTCTTTTGATGAATTAATACTTTATTTATTCATTAAAAAGCAATTATTCAATGCCTGTACCCTGCAGGTATTATAGGTAATAGAGATATAGTGCAGGCAAAGTCCCTACCCTCATGGAAATTTCACTCTAGTGAAGTAATCAGAATATAAGCAAGTCATAAAAAAATAATAAATTTCAGATAGTTTTAAGTGCTTTATTTTATTTTCAGATAGTGTTAAGTTCTCTAAAGAATACAAAGTAGGGTCAAGGATAGAGAAATCCTGAAATTCAGATAGGTGGTAAGCGAAGGCCTCTTAAGATGACTTGTGAAGAACTGAATGATTGAGAAGCCAGAGAAATAAAGATCAGAAGAAAGAACTTTCCATGTAGAAGGTACAGTCAGTGATAATATTCTCAGGCAGGAACAAGTTTTATATACTTGATGAGGAGAGGATTATGAGAAGCCTGGAGAAGTAGACAGAGTAGATCATGTAGGGTCTTCAGGACAAAGTAGAAGTTTAGGTTTTATTGTAAAGAGAACCAGGGGAAGATTTTATTTTAACCAAAGAAGAGAGATGAACTGATTTCCATCCTGTAAAGATGACACTGGCTACTTAGCAGAAAATGACAACAGTACAGGAAGACAGACTATTTAGAAAGCTATGGCAGTGGTCCAGAAGAGAGAATATTGGCTCAGACTAATGTTGTAGTGGTGGAGGTAATATGAAAACACTGGATTCCGGATATATTCTGAAGATAAAGGCAACAAGACATACTTTGGGGTTTGGCTGGAATTGGCTGGAATTGAGTTGAGTTAGGGCTAGGTTAGTTGATTAGTTGGATTAGGGTTAGGGAGTGAGGAAAATAGGAATGGTAGATGACTCCCAGGTTTTCAGCTGGAGTAACTAGGTAAATGACAAGATGGAAGACTGAGGGAAGAACTGTTTAAATAAAATGGGAAGTTAAGAGTTCTGTTTAGGACATGTTATATTTGAGATATCTAACAGATATCCTCCAAACGGAGAGAACAAATAAGCTGCAGAGTACATGCATTTACTATGCAGTACTGGATATATAAATTTGGGAGTCACTGGGGTACAGAAGGTATATAAAGCTGTAAGACTGGATGAAATAATATATGGAGGATGTGAATAGAGAAGGGCTAGGAACTCTAAAATTTAGAGTCAGAAAGAATTAGGACAAATAAAGGATCCTGAGAAGGAGAAGTATAATGAGTGACATAAGAGAATATGATGTCTGGAAGGCCACGTGAATAAAGTATTTCAAGAAAGTGGAAATGTGTTACATTCCATTAGGAATTCAAGAAGTTTAAGAAATAGACTAGATCATTAAAGTTTGGCAGGATGAAAGTCATTGGCAATCATGGCAATTTTGGAATCATTTCAACAAGCATCTGTAATTTTCATAGCCTTCTGCATTGCAATGGCAAGTATATGCTTTGGGTCACCAATTGGATGTTATTTATCTATAAGATTTAGCTTCCAACCCCCCGTTTCCTATGTCCTGAAAACCAGCTGAATGGCAAAGAGAGGCCATACCCATTTAGAAAGGTAGGCAACATCTGCCTTTATTATGCAAACACATCATGTTGGACATCAATAATAATAATGAATAAGGTTTAGACTATCAATGCCTCCTGTGGACTCATGGAACATTTGAGGTACTCTTAACTGTCCAAATAAAGAATGTAAATTCATGGTTGAGTGACTTGTTTTTCCTCGATATTTAGACCTCAAAATATGTTAACAAGCTTGCAAATTAAAAGGTTCATGGAAGAAAGATGAAAGTTATGGAGAAATAGGAAGATGAACGTGTGCAAATTATTTTAGTTTCTTATATAATTTATTCTTAAAAAATCTTGTAGACAATTATAAAACAACACTGTGTGACTCTTCAAATCTACCAACCAAGATTTATGTGACTTTTCCCACCTCCATAGATAAAGAAAATGAACTAAAAGAGAAAATAAAATTTTCTTTTTTTTTTTTTTTAATAATTTTTATTTATTTATGATAGTTACACACACAGAGAGAGAGAGAGAGAGGCAGAGACATAGGCAGAGGGAGAAGCAGGCTCCATGCACCAGGAGCCCGATGTGGGATTCGATCCTGGGTCTCCAGGATCGCGCCCTGGGCCAAAGGCAGGCGCCAAACCGCTGCGCCACCCAGGGATCCCTAAAATTTTCTTTAGTGTAAGAATTTTCTTTAATTTGCTTGGTAAGAAAGAGGAAAAAGTATACTTTTATTAATAACAAGGCAAGGGTAAACTAAAATTTCAATCACCAAATTAATTGAGTGCAATTTTCCTCAGGGAGATTCCATATGAATGAAAACTCTTGAAGAGCTGGGATTAAAAAAAAAAAAAAGAAAAGAAAAGAAAAAAAAAAGACGTGCCATTAAAAATAGATCAGTGAATCCTGCTTTCTTGAATATGTATTTAAAATTAGCTAACATGAAGACTGCTTTTAAATAAAACTTCATTAATGTAGCAAGGTTTTTAATCATAACTCCTAGAAATAATTTAAGAGCTAATCGATATCTTCCTTCATGATTATTCGCTAGTGTTTCTTTAAAATATGTATGAACTAAAACTGTTGAATCACTTTCAAAGAAAAAGATTTTTTTATTCTGAGTTTTAATTGTAGTATTACTTGAGCTTTTATACTTATAAATCTGGTACTAAGTATAAAGACTTCTTTCTTATTTTATGGCAGGATGATGGTAGAACAGCACTGTATTGTGCAAGTGCTTTTTAAAAGATATAATTTTAATCACAATACATTTAATCCTATGTAGGAATAAGCCATATTATAACAAGATTCCACATATGAAGTTACTTGCCTTTTGGAGAATCTAGTCAAGTCCAAAATTTGTCTTTTAAGCTGTCATCAGAACCTGACGGTAGGCCTGGAAGCCATATTTGTACTACAAGACCTCGTTTACTGGTCAGAGCTGGGCCAAACACATTCTGATGAGAAATCTGGGAATTCTTCTGGGAGAAGTCTGTGGGTCAATCTCTAAAGATAGGTAGACCTGAGACAGGTAAACTCAGAGTGTTTGGAATGGCCATGTTTAGCCATGGGCTCATCAAGGATAGAACATTATATGTAGATAAAGACAAAATGAAACATGGTCCCCACAATGAAGCAGAGACTGTGTGCTTTGGGATGGAGAGATTTCCTCAAGTTTAAGGTTCCAGTCCCATGGGTAAAAGTTTTGCCATGAAACTTCCTTGTATTTTCTCGATAAGTTCTGTAAGTCTCCCTTGACTAAGAACAACTGTCAGAACAAGGGTAGGTGAGCCCTAGGGGAGGTCCCACTAATGCCTTCCCCTGGTGGCATATGTGTTTGTAGGGAATCAGCAACTGAAGTGAGAATAATTCATTCCAAGAGTCCCTCCCTTGCCTACCATGACTGTCTCATCCTCAATTTTTTTTTCTCTTGATCATCTGAAAGACTGGTTAATTTCCAAATAAAGAGATGGTTTTATAAAGCTGACAATCACAACTTTTAGTAAATTAAGAGAATATTGTTTTCATCTAATATTAAAGACTTTTTTTAAATGAAAGAAATAGAACATCTAGAAATGCTGCAGTAAAAATAAAGTATCAAACTTACATTTTATCCTCCAGTATCTTACAGGATTTCTTCAATTCTTCGACCTCTTGTTCCCAAAGTCTTATTGATTCTTGTAGTTGTGCTATCTCTAAATTGTGATCACTAAGAACCTATTGAAAATTCAACATAATTATGGCATTCAATGGTCACCAAATTATTCATGACAGTGTTTGATTCACTAAATATTCATGTATTACCCATTCAACTTTTACATTGAAATATCCTTTAGCTAAAATAAAATGTAATCACTAAAATTGTTTCTTCATAACACAAACCTGGGTAGAAATGATCCTGAAATCATCAGAAAGAACACCAAAATTTTGGGGAGAGCACAATCAAATATAGGAGCAAGAATGTGAAAACTATAAACAACTTTCAAGACATGAATTCATTTTGGCTACATTTTTAAAAAAATCTAAACACTGTATTTTCATAATCATCTTCAAAATATTCTAGGATAATAGAAGTATTATAAAATAAAAGTATTATAAAAAAGTAAAAACAAATTACCTTGAGAAATATGATAGTGTTGGAGAGAATTTTTCTAAATATTTAATCAGTATTTTGGAAATGCAACAGTTGGGTACTGTGATAAAATGTCAGCGTGATTTAAAATAATGAAGTATAAATGGAGAAAATTCATAATGAAACATATTTTTACAATGCAGTTTTAGAATAAAGAGAAGGGAAGGAAGGCACAGGCTCCTGGGTAGCTCAGCTGGTTAAAGCTTCTGGCTCTTGATCTCAGCTCAGGTTTTGATCTCAGGGTCATGAGTTCAAGCCCTATGTTGGGCTCCATGCTGGGCATGGAGCTTACTTAAGAAAAAAAAAAAAGGAGGGGAGGCAAACCTACTTATAGAGCCCTGGGTCTGCATTTCAGCTGTGAGGGAGAATGGAGGGAAGAGAGAGCTGAGCAAATTCCTCCACTCCCTGGCATGGAGTCACCACAGGCAGATTGTGCGATGCTATCTAATCCTGCACATCAATGTGGAGCCAGAGAAACACCTGTGGGGAGGCACCAAGGTGCTCTTATTAGGTGAGACAGGTGGCTGAAAGCTCCCCCCAACTATTTCTTCCTTGAAAGCACCCACATGCCTCCACTTCTGGGTCATAACTAGTTTCAGAGTTAGCGCTCAGCTAAAAGCCTTACTGGTATGACCTCATTTGAGCTCCAGCCCTTTGAAATAGGCAATATGATTACCCCATTTTATGAGTGAGGAAACTTCAGGTTGGTAGAGTTAAAAAACTGAACCCCAGGTCTCTGTGACCTTCGAGTTCCTGCTTTAAACACTATTGTTGGGATGGAACGCCTGGTGGCTCAGCAGTTGAGCACCTGCCTACAGCCCCAGGGCGTGATCCTGACTGCAGGGAGCCTGCTTCTCTCTCTCTCTCTGCCTATGTCTGTGCCTCTCTGTGTCTCTCATGAATAAGTAAATAAAATTTTTTTAAAAAAATTGTTAAAAAGTAAATAAACACTATTGTCCACTGGTAAGGGATGCGGTGGTCAGGTTGGCTTGTGGGAGGTGGCGAGGACACTGGAGGTGAGTGTATCCCTGTCACCTTCCAGCCTTGTGTGCTTTGGTCTTAGAGATCTCTGCATTACAGGTTAAGGAATATATACGGTATCTTCCCAAGCTGGGTTGGTGGCGTACCTGACTTCTGATTTATGAGGCCCAAACTAGAGATATGAATTTAAGCCAGTAGATAAAGTTTATGTGATAAAACTCCTATGTTCTTTGAGCCTCCTTACTATACAGATATTTAAAAAGCAGATAATGATCTTTCTAAAGGCACATATTGAGTAAAAATTTTGATTCTGCTCATGTTCTGTAACGGGATATAATAGACATGCTGTAACTAGGATGATCAGAACTGCCTTTTAAAATGTATAATGGAATTCACTGAATATTCTGATAAGAAGTGTGATGTTTCTGGTAAGAAACATGATGACTGTTGCCCCATATAGTTTTACATGTAATTCTCAATACAGACAGAATATACTAAAGATTCGTTAATTCAACTCATTGTGATAGAGGATTAATAGGTGTTTCTGTTCTAATTAATACAGAAATGGTATTATCATTAACCTCTCCTACTAAAGTCAACTCTGTAAGCTTCCCTTTTCTTATCTTTGAAATAAGGATAATCCTCACAAAATATTTATGAGTGCTGGCTTTCAATCAATGCTATCAATTTTAAAAAATAGAAGCACAGAGCTCTGAAGTATTTGCTGATTCAAACAAATAGTCCCCTTTCCATATCAATGCTCCTGTAGCCAATATAATTGAAGAGCCTAAACTGTTTTATTATCACACATTCGGAAATAAGGAATTTGCCTCTGGTTATTCATTTTGGTATAAGAAAGCAATCTCATGGAGATATTACATATGGTTCTGAATGCATTTGGTCAGTTCTGAGTGCATTTTAAAAATTCATTTTTATAGTATTTTGGTCCATTGAATGCAATCTGTACCTAAGGCATTTCAAACTTCGTCCCTCTGACCATATTCCCAATGATGAAAACACAGTTGCATTATAACACTTTAAACAAAGTGTCAGAAAATGTTAACATGTCAAAAACATTCTCTAAGAATGGCCTGAAGATGAATTAAAATTAGCTCCTTTAAAAGTACCTGCCATTGGTTATATTTAAGGCAGTGTATATCTAGGTGCCCCTGACAGGCTTGAAAACACATCCTTTACTCTTACCACTGTGGTGGTCGTAACTGTTTCCTTCATTTTTGACACTTTAACTTTTAATGAATCCAATTCTTTCTTCTTTTTATAAGTCTCCTTTCTCTTAAGTTCACAGAATTTTTTATATTCCTCAATCTGTAGTGATAAACCAATCAAAAAACTTATGAGAAAAACAAAGTTTAGGAAATCTTTTTATTTTGTCAGCTTAATTCATATGTAATCTAAGTATACCACAGTCAGTCTATCAACAACAAAAACACAATCCCTCACCCCCAAACAGGGTTTGCTTGTTTTGTAGCATCACAGGAAAAATAGTGAACTATAAGGAACTGTAATTATAAATACTGAAATAGTAAATTTACAAGAGCAATAAAACAATGATCATTAATAGCAAATTCTAAAAGCAACTGCTGTTGTAGCAATTTCCCGGTAAAGCACCACTGCAACAGCTACTAGATTTACAATATGCTACTAAGATCAGGGAAATTTTAAAAAAATGATGAATAATCTGGACATCAAAAATCACTTTTTTTTTTGACAGGAAAGAAAACAGACTAAAAACAGAGTAAATAAAATCACTGAAGACTGGGCAGCTCACAATCTTGGACAATTTAACATTCTGCCAAGATTAAACATGTTCTGATAACTTGTCAGACCCAATGAAGTGAGTCATCCTCTTATCAAATTCAAACACATCAATGCATTTGGCCAAATGAATGATCAAGAACAAAATAACTGAGTAGTAAGGCCAGAGAAAGCATATTCAACTCTGTATTAAAGAGTTATGAAAACGTACATTTGGGTGGCTTTCTGTGAAAGCCATTGAACCCAAGCATCTTATGAATGAACATGACCATTGTCGAGTATCTCAGCACCAAGACATGGTTGCATGTGAGTGGAACTTTGTGATTGATAAATTTTGTTGAAAATTAGGATTCTGTGTTCATTCTTTGGCCAAAGACTTCTCCCAAGGTCTTGCAGTCACAGCACAATATTAGCAAAAGATATTTTGCTTTGTGTTAGGGGAGAGCTTACAATTGGAAGACTCTGACAGCTGTAATCATTTCCCCTTTCTCATAGGAAAGAAAGGAAATTAACAGGCTGATCTCCAGCCTACCATGTGCCTTCAGTGAATGCTGGTGGTTGCCACATAGATAGTGAGCCCTAGCCAATTTTCTGCGTTAGTTATGCCCATTCCCATCACGGAGAGGGCAGCAGCAGGGACCCAATAGGAATCCTCATCTTGAGCTAGGCCATCACACCTGGGGGAGAAGGAAAGCCCTCTGGGAACACTTCCTATGGAGGCAGCTCGCCTTTCCTGGGGTAGCTGAAGCTGAGCAAAGAGGAACCATCACAAGCAACTCTGATGATGAATTTTAATTACCGTACTCTAGCAGACATCAAAATGCAGTAGTTATTCCCATTCGACCCTCCAAAAATTGTTAGTCTCAAAGTACAATTTTCTGTAGGCTGCTCCGCTCGGATTCATTTAGCAGGAATTGGAAGGCTCCTGCAGGATGGAACTCCCTGGTCATGTCCAAAGAGACATGGCCTCAGAATGGTCAGAGGCAATGAGATGCCATGAAAATGAGTTCCTTATCCCTATAGGGCTGCATATGAGCAAGGGGCCACCCCAGTGTTGCAAATCCCGCCATTCACATTTTTTCCCATGACCTGAGATACTATGACACAGTGTCTTCTACAAGGAGCTCCAGTGTCCTTGCATCTCTGCTCTATTCCCATTCCACTGTTAACAGAAGATACTGCACTGAATGCTTGTAGCCTCGAGAATAAATTGCTTCCCATTTCATGCCCAAGATTCTATATGGTTCTGAATTTTCTAAGAAAGTAAATCATTCCACTTACCTGTTGATTCAGTTGTTGTTTTCTTTTCAAATGTTCTGCTTTTTCTTTTTCCAACTGTTCCTGTATTTCTTTGAGATACTGTATTTGCAATTCTATTTCTTTTCTCTCTGAGTTTATTTTGGTGTAAGTCTCATTGATGTAAATAGTGGTAGTAGCTTTCTCTTCCATCGTGTGGTTGAGCGACAGCACTAACTTTTCATGCTTCCTCGCCAGCTCCTCTTGCTCTTCACTAGGAGAAAAGAATGGTTCATGTAATGATAAGTATGGCTTTTAAGAAAGAAATTTAAAGTCTGTTTACTGAGATGAACACCATAAAGGGGGAAATTTTAAATATTTATTTTAGAGTTGTTTTTGTGATCACTTAAATTTGGTTGAGATGAGGACAGAAGGAAACACAAGACAAATGTCAGTCTTGCAACTGTTTACCACTGCAAAAATATCATGTGTCCTGCCTCACCGCACCCATCCTGTTCCATGAGATATCTTGGTTTATTTATTTTTTTCATCTTTTATCTTCAATTTATTTTTTTTAATAATAAATTTATTTTTATTGGTGTTCAATTTGCCAACATACAGAATAACACCCAGTGCTCATCCCATCAAGTGCCCACCTCAGTGCCCGCCACTCGATATCTTGGTTTAAATTATGCAGTGATTCAAGAACAGTTTTGAACAGGTGAATGGAATCTGACCAAATGATTTGATAGGTAGCATTACCATAACTATCTTATCCTGAGACATGCAATTAAGCCAAAGGAAGATAAACATCTCACCACCCCTCCGGCCACCTTCTGATGCCATTGCCTTGCAGGGAAGGCCAGGAGAAAGCCAGCTCTCCTCTGATAAGCAGGAGTCAAGGAGGAGAGAGTAAAATCTATCTTGACTGTTCAGAAGATGCTTGAAACCTAATTTGAACTCTTTTATCCTACCTTAGTTGCAGCCAAATCTGAGTTCAAGAGGAGACATTAACTTCACATATCCATTGCTAGCCATATCCATCTGAGGAAGATCTACCCTAGAGCTAACAATGCAAGACTGGAAGGAAGGACGATGAGTGCCATTTCTGTATTTTCCTTTTTTAAAATCTTCCGCAATGTTAAGATCTTTTTCCTTTCTCTAATCCCCAGGGCTAAAGATTTAAGTTATCCAGTGAGATTGTGTGCAAAGTCTCAGGAAAATGGAAACAGATTGTTGGTAAGTTTATTTTCCAGAAGTCAGCTCTACCACAGAAGTGTGATAGAAAGCCCAAGCTAGGGCAGCCCAGGTGGCTCAGCAGTTTAGTGCTGCCTTCAGCCCAGGGTGTGATCCTGGGGACCCAGGATCGAGTCCCATGTTGGGCTCCCTGCATGGAGCCTGCTTCTCCCTCTGCCTGTGTCTCTGCCTCTCTCTCTCTCTCTCTCTCTCTGTGTCTTTCATGAATAAATAAATAAAATCTTTAAAAAAAAAGAAAAGAAAGCCCAAGCTAGAGAGGGTCGGGTAATGGGTGCTTTGTGGGTCTAGTAGAGGCCTTCTAAGAATACGTCAACCTAAAGATCAAGTAGTCTCAGTGGAGCAAATCAAAACAAGTCAAATAAAAAAAACTAGGTGTATTGAGAAGGGTTGAGAAGAGAACACTCAGAAACTGGACATGGGACCTAAGGAAAACCCATTCAAAGAGCTTGCAGTTCTTGAGGACTGTCAGAGAATGTTGTTGGCATCTTGATATACATCTTTCTTTGAAAAATGGATGCAATGAGATTATAGCTTGATGATGCCAGCTAATCAAGCAACCTACCTTATGTATAAATCTTTATCCAGAAAGATTTCGCTAGAGCAGTGATTCTCAAAGTGTGGTCAGGACCAGCAGCATTAGCATCACCTGGCAACTTGCTAGAAAAGCAAATTCTTACTCCTACCCCCTAGACCTACTAAATCAGAAATTTGGGGTAGGAGGGGAGGCTTCCAGTAATTTGTGTTTTAACAGGCACTCCAAGTGATTCAGATGCATACTCAAGTTTGAGAATCACTGGTCTGCAGAGGTGTGGTGGTGCTGGCCAACTGACCAGACTATTCCAGCCTGGATGTTATCTTCCTTGTTATCAGTCTAGAAATTGGTAGTCTAGTTCACACAGCAGTCTCTGGTGATTGTGGCTAGCATGCACCACGTACAAATCTGCATTGTGACTCCCTAACAGAGGTTAGACTTTTCAAGCTTATGTGATCAGGTGTTCTGAGGGCCTAATTTGGGAAAGGCCCCTGGACCCTGAGGTCTCCACCTAATTCCTGATGTTTTGATATCATGTGCACTAAACAACCTTCTTCTAATCATTTTCACTTCCCAAGAAGATTTTTTTTCTTTCATGGGGGTTGTTTCAACATTTCTTCCTCTGACAAACTGACATTCTGATATTTAAGCATTAGATTTGCTCACAATGCAGAGTTGTTCCTAAGGTTTTGTTGTAGTTTTTTGTGTTTTTTTTTTCCCCAGAATGTATCTCTTCCTCCATGAGTGCATAAATTCAAACTTGTAATCCTCATTTTATAAATGGAGAAAATGAGGCCTATGGGGTAAAGTCCTGGCAACACAGCTCAGGAATAAAGGGAAGAAACTAACAGGTGTCAGAACCTGAGCTACAGGGAGTTATATATATTATCTCATTTAATTACAGATAAAATCTAAAACTCCCTGCTGGGAACCAATCCAGTCCTCAGACCTCCAGTAGTTTGGGGCTGAATGTCTCTAAGAATCTAAATTAGCTACAATATATCTGGTTTGATACTATTATCTACAATACAATATCCAGCCAGATTTCTTGCTTTAGTGGTTTAGTGGTTGCGGCTTGTAAATTTAATTTTACTAAGATGGAAATTAAAACCACTCTGTGCCTCCGCCTTTACAGGTGGCATGTGATTCACACACAGTAGTTGCTGCTGGGAAGCCGAATGGCCTCTGAAACTTTACGGGTCTCCTGACTGCAGTGGTTAAAGATTTTAGGTTCTCCTCCCCAGCTCTGCATGCCCATCACATGCCCCTCATTAGCCAGAGTCATCTGCTACATGTGATACCCACCCCCTACTGACCCTACACCAGTTCAGACCAGAAGACAGACCCCTTAGGACAGTTTTTGCATTCCAGGCACAGACCCCCAACTCCTGCAAGTACTAAATTAAAAAAAAATACATACCCTAGCATTTCATTAATTTTTTTCAGATCAAGTATTTTCATCTTCAGAGACTGTATTTCATTATTCATTCTTGTAATGTCCGTCTGTATCTGATTTATCTCAAAAAGATTTAATCTCCGTGCATCTCTGACACATTCTTAAAAGTAAGTGGAAATGTTACTAGGCTGAGAAACAGCACACTTGATATTGACTTTTCAAATCATGACAAAATTAGGTCTTTGAAATATTCTTTTAATTATGTACCTGTTCATATTCCTGTTTTTTTTCCACTGTTCAAAATTTGGTATTTTAGTTGGTACGACAGATAGCTTGGTTGCATTGTCTTTTTACATTATATGGCAATGTACACTATATTCTGACATATATAGTACACAAAATAAGATCCTTTAGAAGAGTTATGCATAATACTTGCAATATGGAATTTATACATTGGATCCCAGGATGTGAATGAAGAAAAAAAGATGGACTAGGCATGTTGGGTGTTGGGGTGAAGGAATCAGAAGTTACAGAACACAGTAAATACACATCTGATTTGAGGAGTAACTGCAGCATATATGACATTGGCAGTGGTGCCTCCTGTCTTAATTATGTTCCAGCCTCTTACCCCTTTGGGTCCTCTCAATCTTACCTATCAATTATTTCCCTTACTTCAGCTGCTGCTGTGGTGACCAGCTTTCTGTGGGCTCTGAACGACTTCAGACTGGCATAGTCTGGCAGCACCTCATTCCTGCTTATTCTGTCCCCTTCTCACCTCCTGTCTAGGACCCCCTTGTCACTCTACCATGGGGCTTCTTTAGATATGCACATTGTGCACGTGTAACCCAAAGTGTGGGAGGCAGGCAAACACTGGACCAATGACAGGCAGCGGCCATTGCCTGGACAGTACAGAGAAGATGTAACAGTGTGTCTTGGGCCATGTTTCCATACTTAATTAGTTGCATGTAATGGCAGTTGGCATCACGTATCCCTCCTCAGCTCTTTCTTCTCCCTGCTTTCGTCTCCTTATCCCACTCTCTTCCTCCCACCCCCCCTCCCCAGAACCTTCTCCTGTTTGGATTGTGCTCCCAAATAATAGTGTAAAAGCCTCTGGCTCTGCTTTCTGGGGAACTCAGTGTGTGAAAGAACAAAGTATTCATCAACAAATAACAAATCAGATAGTCATAACAAATCGCAGAATACTTCAGAGGTTTACCTCAGAGCATGATAGAAAAATGATTTTTTTTACACTGATTTTAGAAGGTACTGGACTACCCATTTCTACACAATAAATTCTCTAGAAACTAGTTGGTAGCTCCATCTGAGAGAGCCAGGTTATTGTTAGTTTTGCTCATTGTAGCGGGGCTTCCCAGACTTTTAGGTCTCAAATATGCATATATCATCACCTGAGGATATTATTGAAATACAGATTCTTTTCTTTTAAAGATATTATTTATCTATTTTAGAGAGAGAGTGTGAGACTGTGCATGAGTGAGGGAAGGAGTAGGGGGAAAGGGAAAAGCAGACTCTATGTGGAGCCTGACATGGGGCTCAAGAGCCAGGACCCTGAAATCACGACCTGAGCTGAAATCAAGAGTAGGACACTTAACTGACTGAGCCACCCAGGTGCCCCCACATACGGATTCTGATATAGTAGTTCTGGGGTGGGCTGATAGAGTCTGCTTATTAGAGCAAGCTTTCAGATGCCATTGATGCTGCTGATTCAAGAACCATACTTTGAGTAGCAAAGTTATATAACATAATATCAATGAAATTTATGTGGTTAAGTATTCAGTGTATATCAAGAACCTCTTCATCTAGTAGGCTCTTTTCCTTCTAAATACTTTTCCTGATTATAAAAGCCAAAATATTCTTAATTCTGCCATCAGCACAGATTCTTCTAAGTCTTCTCTTCCCCTGTATATAGAGTTTGTTGTATTTTCCCTGCCAGATGAGACTAACACCATGCATACTGTTTTATAATTGACTGTATCACTCAGTGTCTAATAAGGAGATTGAAATCTTATGAATAGGGGAATTTTATCGTAGAGAATTATTAAGTCTAGTGGAGGATGAGAGTAATGAGGCACTGCATAATAAGAAAGAGAACTCTAAAGGATTCAGGAACAGCAGGCATAAGGAGCAGCCACTACCCCAAGGGCTGAGTGTTTGAGGAATCAGCACCTCCAGACCTGAGATCCAGCCCTCATTGGAAAGGGTGGTGGCTACTGGATGGCAAAGAAATTCATGAAATGCTGGGCTGGTCAAACTCATGGAAATCTGGCTTCTGGGGGAATTGAATTCTGGGGGAATCTGCTTTCTGGGGAACTCAGTGTGTGAAAGAACAAAGTATTCATCAACAAATAACAAATCAGATAGTCATAACAAATCGCAGAACACTTCAGAGGTTTACCTCAGAGCATGATAGAAAAATGATTTTTTTTTGACACTGATGTTTAGAAGGTACTGGACTACCCATTTCTACACAATAAATTCTCTAGAAACTAGTTGGTAGCTCCATCTGAGAGAGCCAGGTTATTGTTAGTTTTGCTCATTGTGGACCTGTCCACAAGGAGTTGCAATGCTTCCGAACTTACTGCAAAACCACCCAAACAGTGCCAGAGAAAATCTGTCACAATTTGGTGCCTCACTGGTGGAAATCTACCATGAAGTTGCTTTGGTTTGCTTTAAATTAGACTACTGGGTGGGGGAGGGGGAGATAAAAGGGTAGTAAACTTTAGAGCTGTGATGACACTTGGAAGTTGTTCTATGTTGAGCAAGGGAGGTGGACCTTTGTATTCTCATGGTGACTGATCCCTGAATGTGGTGACACCTGAGGAGAGAAGGTACCATGATGGGGCAGGGGGTGGTGCCAAGCCTTCCTCTCTTGTCCAGGGCAACTCCTGTAGAGGACCTGAGTCCTCAGCCTCAGCCAATACTCCTGGCAGGTGGGAAGATGACTGAATCCTTACCTTACACCAAATATAAAATTTAACTAAAAATGAATAAAAAACCTAAATGTAAGAGCTAAAACTATAAAACTCTTAGAAGAAAACATAGGGGGAAATCTTCATGACATTGGATTTAGCAATGATTTCTAGAATAGGACACCAAAAGTACAGGCCACAAAAGAAAATATAGATGAACTGGACTGACATCAAAATTTAAAACTTTTGTACATCAAAAGGCAATATCAACAGAGTGAAAAGACAAACCATGGAATGGGTCAAAATACTTGCAGGTCACATATCTGATAAAAGGTTAACATCCGACTATATGAGGAAGAATTCCCACAACTCAGTAACAACAAACAACCTAGTTAAAAGATGAACAAAGGACCTGAATAGATACTTCTTCAAAGAAGGTAAGCAGATTACCAATAAGCAATGAAAAAATGCTCAATGTCACTAGTCATTTGGGAAATGCAAATCAAAACCACGATACCAATTCACACCCACTGGGATGGCTATATTTAAAAAACCAAAAAGAACACAAAAGAACAAATATTGACAAGAACGTGAAGAAATTAGGATCCTTGTGCATTGTAGGTGGAATGTAAAATACTGCAGCCACTATGGAAAACAGTATGGCAGGGGTGCCTGTGTGGCTCAGTTGGTTAAGCGCCTCACTTCAGCTCAGGCCCTGATCTCACCACAGTCCTAGATCCAGCACCATGTCTGGCTACCCACTCAGTGGGGAGGCTGATTTTTTTTCCCTCTGTTCAACAACCACCCCCTCATTCATGTTCTCTCTCTCTCAAATATTTAAAAAAAAATAGAAAACAGTATGGCAGTTTCTCAAAACTTAAAGTACAATATTACCATATAATTCAGCAATTCCCTCTGTGTATATGCCCAAAAGTACTGGGAAGCAGGGACCCAAACGATACTTGTACCACCATGTTTATAACAGCTTTGTTCACAGTAGAAACAACCCAAGGGTCCATCAGTGGATGAATAAACAAAACATGGTATACACATACAATGGAATATAGTTTGGCCTTAAAATGAAGGAAAATTCTGACACATGGTACAACATGGATGAACCCTGAAGACCTGCCAAGTGAAATGTAGCCAGTCACAAAAGGACAAGTATTATATGATTCCACTTATATGAGGTATCTATAATCCCCAAACTTACAGGGACAGATAGCAGAATGCTGGTTTAGCTGAATCAAAGTTCCTGATTAAATTGGATAAATACCAATTTGGAATGGGCTGATCTATGTATCATTAGTCTATTTAGCAACTAAATTGTATAAATTCAAGTTGTGTATATATATATCAATATCATTTCCATCTAAAATGTAAGGGAAAATTATTATGGATCTGTGTTTGTGTTGTGTATTCTTTCTAGCTATTTTGACATGAACTATTAAATTTATTACAAGTAGTAGGCTCTAGTTTCTTATAAGATAAACTAAATTTCTATGGTTGATAATCTTAAAAGTACCTTCCAATTCTCTGCCAATGCTACTGGGAAGAGTTTCCAGCAGAAAATATAGTCTGCTGAGTTCCATGCTTTCAATTTCTAGGCGATCAATTGTGGCTTTTCTCATTTCTTCCTGAAAATTTAAATTACATATTCAAAAAGTTAAGGCATTAAACTAATAAAATTGATTTCCTAAGCAATGCACTATTATAAATGTTTTCAGCAATCAAACTTTGATTTCCATTCAACACCTTCTGCTCTTATTTTTATTTGGAATAGAAAGTGTGAAAAATTGTTCTTCTATAATCAGTTTTTAAGATGTCATTGTTAATTTGTCTTTTTAATCTCTGCTGAATTTCTTCTCAGAAATCATCTTTTCTTATGTTTCTTGTATGCAATTTCAATCAATTTAAAAGAAGAGACTCCAACAAAAAAGGTAATGCTGAGAGAAAAACCTGCGTAATTAAAGAATGGAAAATGCCAATAAAAATATGCTTAGGTATACAGAACAATATTTTTTATACATACCCACAAATCCAAACAAATAGTCTGGTGGGGATTTTTGTGCTTTGTTTTTTTGGTGGGCCTTATTTTTTTTTTTTTAATTTTTTTTTAATTTTTTTTTTTTTTTATTTTTACGATAGTCATACAGAGAGAGAGAGAGGCAGAGACACAGGCAGAGGGAGAAGCAGGCTCCATGCACAGGGAGCCTGACGTGGGATTCGATCCCGGGTCTCCAGGATCGCGCCCTGGGCCAAAGGCAGGCGCCAAACCGCTGCACCACCCAGGGATCCCTTTGGTGGGCCTTATTTTGAAAAAAAGGAAAACCATCCAAAAATCTGTTAGTGGAAAAAATAGATAGTCTCTTAAATAAATGGTCATGATGGCTATAGTTCTTTTATGATCTGAGAAATTGCCATTATATTTTATGAGCAATAAAAAGCTGATTACATAATTGTATATATAGTGTGATCACTTTTCTATTAAAAAATAAAATTCAATACAAGCATCATCTATTCCCTGAAAGTAGGAAAGACATTCATCAAGGAGTTAATTATGATTATTTTAGGGTGCTGGGATCATGGTGGTTTTTATTTCCCTCTTTTTACTCGTCTATTTAAAGAAATATTCAGGGTAAACATGCAGTGCTTTCAGAATTGTGAAAATGTGTTGTTTTAAAAGATGGAGGGATTTATCTTTAAGAGATTTAACAGCTCACCTATTAACATACTAGATACTTTAACAAGCCACAATACATATTTTGACCCTTTCAAGCCAGGGAGGAAAACAAAACTCAAAGAACAAAGATGAAGAAGGTTTCCATGGAAGCACAGGGCAGCACCAAATGCACAAACTCCTGGGGTTTACAGATATGTATTCAATTAACTGGGATTATAAAGTATAATGCTGTAGTATACATCCACAACTATATGTAATCACAGAAAAATATAAAGGAGACGAATTTTTTTCAGCAGTCTGTAGATTCAAATTCCTTTCCTTTACAGCCATATTTCTACATTTTTAGATATTTGATAGGTTGTAGATTCTTACTCGATATTTTTAAATCAAATAAAGAGACCTCACCCATTTCAGCCTGCTGGGAAAGCATTGTAAACATCATCCAGGGCCAAGTAGACACACACTTGTGATACTTCAGAGGGAGATTCTTTAAATATTTCCTTGATGGGGCCAAGTTAGTATAACCAGAGTTGTTTTCACTGACTAGCACTGTCTACTCCAATGGAATAGGTGCTAAATCGTCTTTTAGCAGTTATGTAAGAAATTGCTTATAGACAACTGAGTAAATGGGCACCGTCATGGCTTATATATTGGGGTCAAACATTTGCCCATGTGGACCACCCCTTAATGGAGCTCTGCTACCACCAGTATTGCTCTCCCAAGCAGGCTTGCCCTCCCTCATCCATAGCACAGATCTTTAATGCAATGCTCTTCACAAAAAAATCAGGCAACACTCCCCAGCTGATCGACACTGGTACAAATACTTAGTGAATTGAGATAAACATTTTCCCTATTCATCTATTCAAGTATCTTGAACAGAGTTGGTGCTAAGTTAAAAATTGATGAAGAAATAAACAGAAGATTGAAAAAAATAGCTCTTATAGATAATACTATACCAATTTCTTAACAGCGATAGCAGTGTCCTTAAGAAAGGTCCTAGCTTCTTCGTTGCATTTAAAATAGTCACTTTGTAGTGATTGTTCTAAAGAAAAAAATTAGAAAATGAAGATCTCTTATTTATTTGTCCAAATCCTTTTTAATCCTTTAGATCTAGCTCAAATGCCTGCTCGACTGAAAATTTTATCTTCTCTGAATTCCTATAGTACTTAATATGACTCTCTTTTGAACATGTGTCCTAGTTCATAGTATTCTAATTTAGGCATATATTTAATGTTTCTTGAAGACAAACGCCTCTTGATATTCCATCTTTGCATCTCTCATGGTAGAAGGAATCTATATAGAACAGGACAAGAATTTCAATAAATATTTATGAAAGGAATAAGGGTCTATAATGTAGATTTAAGAATGTTTTCATATATATATAGTTGTATATATGCAAATATAATATTTTGCAAAAAACTCTACTCATTTAATTAACTGTTTCAAAGTCCCTTATGTTTACTTCTGTGCCAATATTTTAATCCTGGGATGAAAGTAAATATTTGTAAAACTGGTAGGTGTGAGGTAGGCAGAATTTCTAAGCCCTCTTGATTCCCTGACATATGAAGGATGTCTCCTTTCCCTCACACACCATAAATAGGAAGCACAGAGGAGGACAGGCTTATGAAATGTTAGCAATGGTAATGAAGACCTGATACATACCAAATGGAAAGAAGGAAGGGGGGAAAATGGATAAGAGGAGGAAAAAGAACAGAGGAAGTTATACTTACATTGGCTCTGGTGCCACTGAGTTACACAGACTTGGTCCAAATGAATTCCAGGCCTGCATCTTGATATGTGGGATAAATTTGATGGGATTCATGTTTTACATGCATTACCTAAGTTGATTACTATGAGCTTATAATGAATCCCATTTCACAGGTGAGAAATCTGACTTTTGAGGTTATGTCATATGTTCAAGGTCACAGAGCCAATCACTGAGACAGTCCAGATTCAAACACAAGTGTGATTTGAGAGTCCTTGGCTTCAATGGTCACACTTACATAATCAGAAGAGTAAAGAACAATTTCTGCCCTCAGTTCCTGGGAACTTGGATTCTCCTAATCAACTAAGCTCTCAAACCAAGTGAAAATCAGTTACTGGGTTTGCAAGCAAGTGTGTGTTAAGTTAGGAGGGGACAGGCCTTGCCTGTTATCCTTCCCTTTCTTCTAATGGAATGAATGAGCACAAGCTGTTCCCACTTGCAAATAAGCTGGAGAGCTGCATATTTTCTTACTCCCACAAGAGGCTTAATGAAGTTTTTTTTTTTTTCCTACAAAAAATTTTGAGAGCCCAGAAATTACTAGCAGAAAAATACTTGCACAGAAGCACTGGGATGAAGTGTACATGTTGAGCAAGTTTGAAGAGAGTTCAAGACCCTACCTCTACCAGGCCAGTGATAGTGACTCATTTAAATCTCTTTGGTGGTTAACATTCCTCATGATAATACTCATGCAAGCCTATCTCACAGGGATCGTGAAGTTAAATTAGTTCATCTAAGAAGAAAAAAGAGAAACTATCCCAAACTAGCAGTAACATTATAATAGAAATCAGTGTGATTACCTTGAAGTCATGAGATGCTGATAGTAGAGCAAGGAGATGCTTTGTTGTTTGGCCTAAACGGTTTATGAGCTAAACAAGAAATGTCCTTTATTGGACCATAGCTTAACCTTAAACTCAGGTGTTTTGATTACCGGTTCAGCTTTGTAACTGAAGCAACATTTTAAGCTGGCCAAATCCAAGGTTATTACGTTTGCATCTCCTAAACACCCTTGTCTAATTGTCCTTGTCTAATACAACCGGAGCTTAAGAGCCCCCTTTCTTGTTTGCCCGTTAAGCTCTCCACTTGACCCTGGCAAGATGCTGGAGGAAGTTAACTTACAACGAAAAGAAGGGGGGAAGCTGAAATTAAATGCGTAATCTGAATGCGAGTGGGGTTCCAGTCGCAGGCAAATGGCAGTGGCCTGAGAGTCCAGGCTTTGCCCCCGGCCGGGTTTGTCGCCAGTTGCTAGTGTGAGCTGGGCCACGTCACTCCAGTGGCGCTAGAGCCCGAGAGCAGAGCCCTGGGTCCCACCGGGCCGTCTCCCCCTCCCGCAAGGAGCCTGAGAGGACTCAGCCTGAGTCAGGGCCACCCCGGTTCCCTGGGGAGAAGGAAGGCCCCCGCCCAGTGCCCGCCAGGTGCCACCAGCGAGGCGCCGGCCCTCCCGGCGCCCGCAGGCTGCTCACCCACAGCCAAGAGCTGCTCCAGCGCCGCGGTCGCGACGGCGGAGCCCAGGGAGGGGGGCAGGGTGCACAACTGCAGGGAGGGGCCGGTGGAGACGCCCGCCGCCCGCCGCGCCTGCTCGCCGCGCCCCAGCTCTAGGGACCAGGAGCTCAGGGCCATCCTGCGGCTCCCGCGCCCAGCCTCGCAGGCCCGGCGCCGGGGCGGGCGGTTGCCACGGGCGACAGCGACGCCGAGGCCCCGGGCGCCCGCGGGGGTGGCGCCTGCCGGGTTCTGCCGACCTGGGCCGGAGTCACGAAGCGATCCTGGGGCCCGGGGCCGCTCGTCCGCCGCCCTTTCCTCCTTTGCGTTTGCATTTGCATTTCTGAGCTCGGTCGGGCCCTTTCTCGCGGACCCCTGGAGTCACACTTTTGGAGGCATCTCTGCGCCGGGTACACCGGCTTTGTGAGGCAGGTTCTTCTACTGTCTCCACTTTTACAGCCAAGGAAACGGGCAAGGATGACTAAGCGATCTGCCCACGGGCAGAGAACATAATTTTGGATTTAAAGTGGAGCCCGTATAAATCTTTCCACGATGCTGCAAAATGCATCTCTGTACTCCTCTAGAACTTTCATTGTATCTGGTCTATCAGTGAGCACATTCTACCTTGAATCAGTGATTTTCCTCTGTCTTCTTATCAAATGGTGAGCTCTGGGTGGCAGGGATATTATCTATTTTTCTCTGCAGGGATATCATTTATTTCTCTCTGCATCTCCGAAATTCAGCCCAGAGCCAGGCACTGATTGAGGTTGACTATTAGTTCCCGTTTCCTCTGGCTGGCAGGAAATCACCGAAGATGATTTAACCCTCCTCTTGTAACGTTTCTACAGTTGGCAAAACTGAGATCAGATAGTGACAATGACAATAGCTGTCATTTGTTGAATGCTAAGTTCCAGGCACCTTTTGTAGTCCTTTATAGTACCCATTTAACTTTTTAAAAATTTCTGAGGTAGGTATTATTTCCCATTTTCAAATGGGACACTGAGCCTCTGCCCTGAATCACCATACTATATGCTGCCTTGGAGAAGACATAGCATGACAATAACAAAACTAGTTCTGGAATCCAGGTCTCCTTCCAGGGAGAGCCATAGCCTGGCCATGGACACTCTCCGGAGTCCCCTTTTTCGCTAGATTTGGTCTATTAGTATTCAGATCTATCCCTGCCTTTCTGTGAGTTCCTCTGTGTGGCAGAGGCAGGACGCCTGGAAATGGCATTTCTCACTCTTGCTAGATGGTTTCCTAAGTTCCACCAATAGGAGGCACTGGTGGGACATTAGCCCTCCAAGACTGGTGGGACATTAGTCTCCAGGAGTGGCAGTTTCCCTAGTTTTGGTGGCTCCAGAGAAGGCCGGAGGGAGCCAGTCCCTCCAGCACTCTGCAACTACTCAGCAGTCAGTGTGGGCATGTGGGCACAGTACAGGGTTGTACAGCTTTCTGATCCTTGGAGCCTTCTTTTCATCTCCTTTGGTTTCTATATTTCTTGTAGAACATTCCCTGTGACCAAATTCCTCTTTTTTTGAGCTACCTAGACTGGACAATGCCCTCCCTCCCCCCAAGCCAACCTTTATGCTGTTACCAGAATATTCTTTCTACTCATCATCTCATTTGAACCACATTGCTCTCCATTGTTTATGAATGAGGCCAATCCCTAAGGGGGCATCCCCACTTCCTGGATTTATTTTAGATTTTATGACTTTTAAAAAAGGTTTTATATGTTTATTCATGAGAGACAGAGGCAGAGGGAGAGGGAGAAGCAGGCTCTCCGTGGAGCAGGGAGCCTAATGTGGGGCTCCATCCGAGGACTCTGGGACAATGACCTGAGCTGAAGGCAGACATTTCACCCACTGAGCCACCCAGGCACCCAGATTTTATGACTTTTTATGTCTATTTCCATTCTTTTTCCTGAACATGCTTTCTGAGGTATTTCCAGCTTCTACTTTGACTCATAGTTCCTTCCATGTGGGATGACCTTACAAAATCCAAACCATCCTTTTCAAAGGGAACTTTATTAATCCCAAGTAGAAACCTGGACAAGTAATATGAACAAGCACTTCATAAAAGAAAAAAAATCCCAAGAAACATCTTGAAATAACATTTAAAGAAATTAGCAAAGAAAAAAATAATACATTCATTTTCCTCATTATATTATTAAGATTAAAAAGAATAATAATTCAAAGTGTTGACACTGGGGGTGTGAATTTACTATACCTTGTCTGGAGGACATTTTGGAAATACAAAAAGAAGTCTTAGCATATAGTAATACTTCTAGGAATTGTTCTTTCAAAAAATCATCACAGGTGCGTCCAAGGACATGGGTATGATCTCGTTTCTTTCAGTTCCAGTTTTAATAGTAAAAACTTACAAACAGCCAAAATGGTTTATGGTGGGACACTGAGTTTAAATAACCTAAGGGACATCTGTGTTTCCTATTCTAGAAAGCAGGTCACCATATGGTGAAGAGCATGGTTATAGGGTAGTTAAAATGAGTACTACCATCAACCAGATGAGGTGTCTCTTGAGCAAATTAATCTATGAATGCCCTCCAGTATCCTTGCTCTGAAGGTGGTGGTGATATTAGCTCTTAGTTCATAGAACTGTTGTAAGGACTAAGTTAAGTGAGCACTTAATGCTGTGTGCAACACATGGTATATACTCAAAAAACATTTTGTTTAAATATTTTATCTCTTTATTCATGAGAGACACAGAGGGAGGCAGAGACATAGGCAGAGGGAGAAGCAGGCTCCATGCAGGGAGCCTGATGTGGGACTCGATCCTAGATCTCCAGGATCATGCCCTGGGCTGAAGGCGGCGTTAAACCGCTGAGCCACCCAGGCCGCCCTATGCTCAAAAAACATTACTTAATGGTGAAACAATAATATGGTAGGTATTAAAAATAATGGGTAGAAATTTACACACACACATTTCCCATGAGGTTAGGTAAAAAAAAAAAAAAAAAAGCAAGTAGCAAAAGACAGGTGTAATATTCAATTTTTATATATCCATATAATAAATAAATGTATATAAGTAGATCCCTATGTGCATTTGCATGGGAAGTGGCCTGGGAAGAATTGTTCACTAAAATGTTCACTGTGGTTTATCCTGGTTAATAAAATTATGGGTGTGTTAGGTAAAATAACACCTCCCTAAAATGTCCTAATCCCTGGAAACTGTGACTATGTTATGTTAGATGGTAAGAGGTAATTAAAGTTGCAGATGGAATTTGGGGTTAAAATCCATAGATCTTGAGATAAGGAAAGTATTCTAGATTATGCAGATGGGTCAGTGTAATCATGAGTCCTTAGAACTAAAGAAGGGAGACAGGAGAATCAGTATCATAGAGATTTAAAGACACTGCCTCGTTGCCTTTAAAGATGGAGAAAGGGCCATGAGCCAAGGAATACAGATGACTTCTAGAAAGTGAAAATGGCAAGGAAAGAGATTCTCCTCCAAAATTTCCAGAGGAAACCTAGCCTTGCTGACCCCTTGATTTTAGCCCAGTGGGACTTCTGACCACCAGAAGGGGAAGATAATTAATGTGTTGTTTAAAGCCTCTAAATTTATGATAATTTGTTATAACAGGAATAGGAAACTATTATGTGGGTAATGTGAACTTTTTTCTTTATCGTATTTTTGTATTTAAATATTTTTCCATAACCATGTATACCTTTGTAATTAGAAAAAATAAAGCTTTTTAAAATAAAAAATAAAGAAAATATACAAATTTAATATAGTTGAGTGTATAAAAAAAAGCTTTCTGAGCCTTTATTAGCTATATAGGTGCTGTTCACTGAGTCAAAAGCTACATCTCAATTCTCTTGTGTATCTTTCTTACTTTGGTAATACAGATGCATTCACATTCCATTTAACTTTTTTAGGTTTATTTATTTATTTAGTAATCTTTACACTCAGTGTGGGGCTCCAACTCATGACCCAGAGATCAAGAGTTGCATGGTCTTCCGAGGGAGCCAGCCAGGTGACCCTGTTCCAGTTAATATTTTTAAGGCAGACTTTTGCTTAGTAGCCAGGACAACATATTTGAATTCTGTAAGCTCATGCTGAAATTGATTTTTGGCTTTAGCTGTGGTTAGCAATTGTTTCTGTTTACCTTTTGCTGCTGAGAGGGCCAGGAGAACCCAACTGCTGCCTGGAGTTTGACCCCTAACTCAGGTATATATATAATATAATATAATATAATATAATATAATATAATATAATATATATGACTGAATATATATATATATATATATATATATATATATATATAGTCAGACTCATTGGTTTGCATATTGGTTGTGTACCTGCTGTGTGCTAGACATTGTGCTGAGCCCTGAAAGTATATATATATATATATATATTCCTGTATTAAGGCTTGTTGCAATTTCTGCAGTATCTGAGGTTTACATGGTCTTTGAGGATGATATTGCTCTTGTTGTTGCTTCTTTCCATAAATCTAGTGCCTCCAAGGACAGCCCCAACTTCTGAGTTGTGTGTCTAGATCCTGGTTTAGACCTGGTCAAGGTATCATTCTTGATAGATGTGTCGAACAACTCACTTATGGAAGGTGGTTGCATGTTGCAGTGTTTTGTGTTCAGTATATCAGGATATGTGATGATTCAGTACTAGACTGTGCTCAAACCTCGAGAAATGAGAATTCTAGTAAACTGAGTCTCTGTCTTCCTCACTCTTGACGCTACCAGTGCCAAGTACAGGGCCTAATGTCTAGCACATGACCTTGGCTCCCCAACAGTGGTTGGTCAATAAGGTTTTTTTGTCAAATGCCATGCCATCTTTAGCATTTGTGCTTCATCCTCAGGCTTGTTGCTTCATGGTCACAGATGGCTATCATAACCCTAGACATCATGCACTGGTACAAATTAGGAAGAATTGGAAAGGGGAGACATGTAGAAGCCCCCTGTCCTTTCATCAGGAAGGAAATCTGCCCAGAGTACTTTTGACACACTTATTTCTCAACAGCCTGAGCTGGGTCACAAGACTACTCATGAAAGGGAGTTTAGGACAGTGAGTGTCTGGATTTCCAGCTTCTGTGGAGTTGGCAGGAAAGAAGAGTCTTCAAAATAGCTGGAGGATTACCAATGGAATGTCAGCCATGCATATGTTCTCCAGACTAATATTTATTAGCTGCAACATTAGGCCCAAACCAACTGGTTGGGTGGGCTTTTCCTATGGGTTGCAAAGAACTCAGTGAAACTTCTAGCATTGAATAGGAAGGATGTCTTGGTCCTCCTCTATATTGGTAGGTTCTCTCCTATTTAAGCCTTCTCATTGACTCTATGCCTAGGTCTCTAAGAGATTATACATTAGACAAAGATTCTCTACCCCCTTGGACTTCACATGGCTTTTAAAGTGCCTACCTCATAGTTA